AAGGTCAAAACATGGGAGGAGCTCTGCCAACAGTGAATCTCAGGAAATCTTAGAGCTTACAGAGATTGTAATGGTCATCTAAATCCAGTCAGACAGTTCATGCTTGAGTAATACTAAATTTTTATATTTCTGAGAAAGGGCTTATGAAATATGTCACCTTTCATAAGCAATGAAATTGTTCTTTATTGTGTAGTAGTCTTGATAATATATGAACCTTCAAGCACAGCGTAAGTTTATGTAAAGATTATTCAAAGTTGTACACTTATGGCACTTACTGAGTTTGTTACTCAACATATTAAACCCAGAAGTGATTAATCTTAGCATCTCACCTTAGCAATGGAATGAGACAAGCACAGCTCTGACCACAATAGATAAGAATATACTAGACCAGGGCCCTCCCTGATGGTACAGGTTAGGATGCAGCACTGCAAGCTCACCGCAGAAGTTGCAGTGTGAGTTCGATCCCCAGCCCAGAGGTGATCCACATGGCAGAGCAGACCTCTCCTGTCTTGCCCACTGCTCCCCTCAGCAGTGTACTTTGTTGATACTTCGTCAATCTGCCTGTTCTGCTCCCCACTCTGTGTCTGGTAAATCTTGTCACCACCCCTGCACCGCTGGCTTGTACCCCAGTTCTATATGCATAAATAAATAAATCTAAAAAAAAATTCAGACTATCTATTAAGAAAAAATAATAGAGAATATAGTAGAACAGATGTATAGTTTGGGGTTCATATTTCATTGAAGTCCATAAACAAGTATTGCACTTGACTACAAAAATGAAGTGAAAAACTTCTCTTGAAGGATAACTATGTGGCAAAATCTGAGCCAAGCACTGTATGTAGATTTTCTCTTCATTGTCCTCCTGAGGGGAGGGTCTCTTTGTTCACACTGAATCCTCAACTGGGCCATAGTAAACCATATAGAGAATATCCAAATGGCTCTGTTGGCTGGTACTGTTATTTTTTATCATCTCAAGTGTACAGATGAGGTAATATAGGTTTGCAAGTTGTTAGTTGACCAAGGACAACAGGCCAGGCAGCATAAAACTTGGAGTGCACACTCCTAAGACAAGTGAATGTGACCACAACACTGTAGTTTAACAAGCAACGCTTGGAGGGCTGGTGGGGGTAGGTAAATTTAAATGCAATTTTTGTTGGGGCTGGGTGGACAGGCACAGAGGAGGACGGTTCTGAAATTTAGTCTCACATAGCCAATTAGATCTCTAGAGATGGTTGGAAGTAGAACTTTCCAAAATGAGTCCAAGCTTTATGGGGAGACATGGACAGAATCCAACTGGGGTTCCCAGGTCAGGGGTACACCCTCGTGGCCTGCACAATGTGCTGTAGCTTTCCACGAAAGGTTAGCTGCATGGTGAGGAAAGAATTATTCTGAAAGTCCACACAATAATATGGGATCGCCTGTGAGGCATCTTGACATTACTTCATTTCTTCATTGAACATATATTAAATTCATTTTCTCTAGAAGATAAAAATGTCTCAGAGCCTCATGTGCCTTTGGCCTAGTGCCATTGTACTAACAGTAGTCAATAACATTTTGTATAAAAAGGAAACTGTGCTTGGAAATGTAAAGTGGTACAGCACTCTGGAATAATTTGGCAGTTTCTTAGAAAAACTAAGCATACATTTATCCTACAACCTAGCAATTGCAGCCCTGGCATTTATCCCAGAGAAATGAAAACTTATGTTCACATAAAAACCTGTGTGTGACTGTTCATAGCAGCTTTATTTGTAATAGTCCTAAACTGGGGACAACCAAAATGTCCTATAATAGGTGAATGATTAAACAAACTGTGGGGCATCCATTCCACGGGATTCTATCCAACCATAAGAAGGAACAAATTACTGAGGTAGACAAAACGTTGGATGGCTGTCAAGGGCATTATGCTAAGTGGGAAAAAAAACCAATCTTATGCTCTATGATTCCATTTATAAAATATTCTCAAAATGATAAAATTAGATAGAGAACTGATCAGTGGCTGCCAGGGGCAGGGGTGGAGGGGGAAGGGTGTGTGTGTGAGTGTGGCGGGGCAGTGTGTGGGAGGTCTATGTGGTGATAGAATAGTTTTGGATCTTGATTGTGGTAATGGTTACTCAAGTCTACTCAGGGGATACAATAGCAAAGGCTCTTGTACCAACGTCCTGTGCAGGTTTTGATGTTGTACCAGTTTCCTGAGCTGTAACCTCTGGGAGAAACTAGAGGAAGAGCACAAGGACCCCTCTGTACACTTCTACAACTTCCAGTGAATACAGAATTATTTCAAATCAAAGTTATTTAAAAAAAAAAAAGTAAAGTAGTGGTTGAAAGCATCTATATAGTTACTATATAGTTTTTAAAGATTTATTCATTTATGCATACAGAACTGGAGTACAGGCCGAAGTGCAAGTGTGGTGACAGGATTCACCAGAGACAGAGTGGGGAGCAGAACAGGCTGACTGAGGAAGTACACTGCTGAGGGGAGCAGCGGGTGGGTCTGGAGAGGTCTGCCACGCCATGTGGGTCACCTCTGGGACAGGCAGGGATGGACCTCATTCGGAAGTGGCTTTAGCTTCTTAGTTCTGTGCTTTAACCTGCTGCGCCACCAGGGAGGGCCCAGTTACTATATTTTTATGAAGTTACCATGAGTCATCTTTTACATAAATTATTTCCCCCTTGCCTTTGTGATTATGTTTACAGAACAAATTCTTGAAGTGGCAAAACTGGCTTTCTCAACAACCATGCTATATTGCTATTTTTATGATGTATTCTAAGCAACATATACATTTTTTTCAAAAAGCCTCATCTCTGGAAATATTTATAGATACACAAGGCAAAAAAAATTTAGCCTACTTCAAATTATAGCACATGTCAACTATAATATCAGTGTTTGATTAGTCATTATTTATTGGTTTGACTTAAATTTCTCTGTTATATACTCACTAATACAATAAAGTTCATTTTTACAGAGATACAGAGATGATGTGATGAGCTCTTGTCTTCCTAAATATAACAATTACACATAAAAGAAGATTGGCACTAAGAGTTGAGACATATTCCATTCTGTGTTATAAATGAGTTCTAATGTATTAAAGAAAATGACTTTCCATTAGTCAAAAAGGACTCCTTAACCTCACCAAGTAATCAGCATCAAAACATAAAAATATTCAGAATCTTATGAAGAGTCTCTTGTGTACCAAATGGGGCATTTATCCGTTCTCTAAAGGCTCACATTGTAGCACGTGGGTGAAGCTTCCTGGGCAACCTTTCCCTCTTTCAGCCTTAGATGCTGCTAAGCCAAAATGTGGGCACCGAGCCTGAGTTTTGCAACCCACAAGAAATGTGGCTAAAGCCAGAGAACAGATGTATTTATACGTTCGGAGGCCCCACTTTTCATGAGTCACGTGGCGTCAGCCCTTGCACTGTGGTTTCTGCACCTTCTGTGGCTTGCCGCTGCCAATTAAGTGGAGAGGGCGCCCTCTATGGGTAAGTCTTGGGAACAAAACAGTCACCTGGGGAAGTGGGAATTCACCTGGATGGATGGCCATTCCTGAGCAGTACTGCTTCAAAAGCTTTTCAGAAACTAAATTCCACTAATGTGGTACCAGAAATAGCCTAAAGAGCCAATGTGAGATCATCTTGGATACTGAGATTTAAAGGAGACTCCCTTTCTCTTTCTCAAATTTATTCTGAAAAAATTTCAGAGAAGTTGAAAAGAATAATGCCATGAATTCCCATCTACTCACCATCTACACGCCACACTGTTAACTGTCTGCCATATTTGATGTATGTAAGTTTGTGTTAAATTTCCTGAATTGTTTGATTAGAGACCCACATTTCAGTAGTGTTGCATACCCTTTGAGTTCTTTACTGTGTGTACAGTCTATCCAAAAAAATTAACTTATTAAGAATAACCACCTCTGAAAGGAGCTGTGAGGGTAGATTAAATTAAATGAGAACATATGTGTCAAACATTGGCACAGTGCCAAGCACAGAGTACCAGCTCCATACACACTGACTATGGTCGTCTCAGATTTCCTTTCATTTTCTTTTAGGTCCCAAGGCCAATTCATTGTATTTGATTGCACCCTCAAATAAGCAGTATGGACAGAACTGGGCTTCAAAAAGCTTACTGACTCCAAGTGGGTGAGGGCCCCCATGGATGGGCCTGGTCTCTTTCTAGCACAGCCCCTCTTTCTACTTTTTTATATCTCACTCAGCTTCTCAAAGGCTTTTGCCACAGCAGGAGGGATCATCACATTGAGCAGGAGAGTGGCAGAGCCCCTACAAACAGGTCAGGGTGTAGGAAGTGGACAGCCATGACACTTACTCGTGTCATCTCGGTTGCTCCAAGAAAATTGCTCCATGACTGCCAATATCCACCTTTTCCCAGACTATTGTTAACACATTTTGCTACTGTCTAATGTCAGAAAATGCAACATAAATATAAAGTATAATTCAATATGTGGTAAGAACCAAATTGGTACTCTAGTTCCTATGAATTAATATATTCATAATGTACATGCATGTAACACAATATACATATTAACATATCCATGTTAACTTGTATGTATGTATTACATACATACAATGTAACAAATATAAAATACAATTCAGTGTGTGAAAAAAACCAAGTAGTTAGAATTCTGTGCTGACTAGGTCTCTTTCTCCACACACAAATATTTAATATACATCATACATGTGTTACACATTTTATACACTATATATGTACATTGTTACATATATGGCATATTTTAAAAATGTATTTATTTCTTAAGGCACCTAGTAAGCACCATCTTCAATTTGGTTTTTACCACATAGTGAATTACATTTGGCCAGACTAATTCTTTTCCCAATCAGGGTCCATTAAGTCCCGTATCTAATTTTTCTATCAAATCACCCCCCCTGCTGTTAGTCACAAACCGTGTTTTCCTGGTCTTCCTGCCAACCTCCCATGAACACCGAAACTCACCCCAGTCCTTGTGGAGCAAGAACAAGGAACTTACCTGAGAACCCAGGGCTTATTTTTTTCATCTGCATTAACTGTTGCTACCACACAGGGGACCAGCATGAGCAAGCCCCTTAAAGCTGCTGGTATTCTCCACTGCCAGGAGGCTGCTCCTCAGGACCTGATCTGCTCCAAGAAGACTGTTCCTAAAAAAGAAGAGGTCCCTCTTGCAGGGTCACAGTGGACCTGAGTACATCAGGCCTGGCTTTGAATTCAGTTATCATTATAGAAGAGGCCACAAAGAAAACCAGAGAAACTCCAACAAGAATAATGTGGGTATTTATGGAGCATTAACTGTGTACAACACACTGTGCTAAGTTCAGTTAAAGTATTTTATAGTATTTGTTATTTAAATGTATTTAAAGTATTTATCATCTCAACCTTTCTAGAAGGTAGACATTGGCCTCTGGCTTGAACCTTACCCTTCAAGGGAGTTTCTCTTGGAAGACCTTAATTCATTTTTAAAATTAATATTTATATGACACTTTCTATGTGGCAGACACTGTTGTAAGAAACCTTACAAACATTAACTCATTTCATCCTCATAACAGTCTATTATTCCCTTTGCAATTAATTTGATGTTTGCATTCCTCCAAAGCTCATCGGTTGAAACCTAACCCCAATGTGATATAAGTCTTTTGGGAGACTCATTAACTCACAAGGGCAGAACCCTCATAAATGGGATTAGTGCCCTTATAAGAGACCTCAGAGGCTCCCTCATCCTTTCAGGCATGTGAGGACATTGAGAAGACAGTGTCTATGATCCAGTAAGCAGATTCTCACCAAACACTGGATCTTCTGGTAACTTGATCTTGAAACTTGAAGCCTTCAGAACTCTGAGAAATAAATTTGTGATGTTTTAAAACTAGCAAGCCTATGGTACTTGTAATTGTAGCTCAAACAGACAAAACATCCATTTAAAAGATAAGAGGCCTGAAGTATAAGAGGTTCAAGGTCACATTGTAAGTAAATGGCAGAGCAAGGATGCCTATTCCAGCTGGCGGAAGTGTAAAGCAGATACCTTAAAGTAGAAATGTGCACATGAATCGGCAAGGGTATAGGAAAATAGGTACTTTTATGCTTAGCTTGTGGGAAGGTTAATTTGGAAAGCAATATGACAGTATTTAAAATGCACATACTTAATTTGATCTTATTCACAAATGCATAATTGTACAAAGACTCATCAAGGCATTCCAGTGCAAAAATGTTTGTAGTAGTAAAGATGAGCAGACTAGGACATAATGCAATAGGCATCAGTTACATAAATTTTGATACAACACACTCAGGGATACTATACAACCATGAAGATAGGCACAGCTCTCAAGATGTATTCTAATTAAAAAAAAAAAAAAAGGACGGTATATGTGCCTTAAAAACTAGTATTGGCCCTCTCTGGTGGCGCAGCGGGTTAAAGCACTGCACTAAGAAGCTGAAACCACTTTCTCATGAGTTCGATTCCCGCCTGCCCCGGAGGTGACCACATGGTGTGGCGGACCTCTCCTGGCCCGCCCGCTGCTCCCCTCAGCAGTGTGCTTCGTCGATCTGCCTGTTCTGCTCCCCACTCTGTCTCTGGTGAAGTCTTTCGCCACCCCTAAGTCTCTGGCCTGTACCCCAGTTCTGTATGCACAAATAAATAAATAAATCTTAAAAAAAAAAAAACAAAACTAGTATTGGACCCAATGACAGGGTTCTGATTCAAGGGATGGTAAACACACTTTACTCTATCACCAGACTGCAAGTATAAATCCTTTCAGAATGCATGGAGCATTTATCTGAGGACATTAAAAAGCAAATGGTAGTTGGTAAATTATGAAAACAGACCAGAGTTCAAAGGTCCATCAAATTGAGGAGTTTAAATTTTTTTCCTCTTCAGTTTTATCTGGACTAAATTCAAAAGCTCAAAACTCAGAAGAGCTCATTAGGTACAGAGCTCTAAAAGAAGCTTTGTCTTACTGGGGAAAGAGAAAGTCTAGGGGAGTGGGGGAGGTATGGGAGTGGGGAGAGTAACCTTTTCTCCCCCTCCCCTTGTATCTTCTGCCCCAGTCTGCAGGCAACACCTGCAGACTTTTGGTGAGAGAAGTTGGTAGAAGCTTGAAAATTTGAAGTAAGGGCAATTTACTTGCCTTTCATCAGACAGAGATGAACAGGGAAACTAAAGTCTTACTATATTGAACACCAAATTGTGTTCCCCCCAAAGTCATATATTTAGAAGACCTAACTCCCGTAACTTGGAATGTTACTGAATTTGGAAACAGGGCCTTTAAAGAAGAGATTATGATAAAATGAGATCATTAGGGTGGGCCATAATCTTATATGACTGATGTCCTAATAAGAGGGTATTAGGAAACAAGTTCAGGCAAGCAAAGAGGAAAGACCATGTAAAGACACAGCAAGAAGGCTTCGGAGTAAACCAGCTCTACTAGTAACTTGATTTTGAACTGCCTCTAGAACTGTGGAGAGAAAAATTTAATTGCTGTTGTTTAAGATACACAATCTGGGTATTTTGTTACGGCAACTCTAGCCAACTACTGGTTATCAGAAAAGTCATGATGCATTTTTGCTTGAAAAACATAGAAAAAATACATTATGACATTTCTAACAACCCAATACTATACCTGTTTTCTGCCTGAAATACTAGAGATACTCTAGGATATCAGGGATCATAGAAATGAAATCAAGACAGTCATCCCAGAGTGCTGTATATGAACTGCTGGGCTCATGGGTTACAGAGCTGACCCTAAACACATACCATAGTCTTTATCAAATGAGCTAAGGGCGTCCAGGTGGGACTGGCCAGTGTGTCCCATATATGGAAATGACCCAAGTAACACTGTGAATCCTTTCAAAACAGAGCTGGCTTTGGAACTACAGCCCAAAACACACAGACTGAAACTTGCAACTTGTACTTAACCTTCTGCATTACCTTCTAAAATTAAAAAGAACACTAAATTATTCCAATTCCATTTGATCAGAAGACTATATTATCTTCATTGACTTGCTTTGCATCTTTGATAAAAATCTGATGGCCAAACTTGTATAGGTGGGTTTCTGGACTCCTGTTTCATTGATCTGTCTGTTTCACTTCCCCAACACCACAGGGATCTACTTTTTAACTATTTCAATTGTCATTCTAAAATTAGGTAGTATGATTCCTATAACTTTATTCCTTTTCAAAATCATATGAGATATTCTAGGTATTTTACCTTTCCATATAAATTTTAAAATCAGTTTGTCTATAGGTCACTCCCTTTTATTGCTTATCTTGGGCAGTTTCCAGTTTGGGACCATTATGAAAAAGTTGCTGTGAAAATACACACAAAAGTCATTGTGTGGACTTATGTTTTCATTTCTTTTGGAATGAAGTTCTGGGTCTTACAGAAGTTGCATGTTTAACTTTTGAGAAATTGTCAACTCTCCAAAGTTGTGGCACCATTTTATTTGCCTGCTACCAATGTAAGCAAGTTCCAGTTATTTCAAATTTATGCCACATGACATTAATGTCAGTTTTTTTTAAATTTTACTATCTTAGTGGTTTTGTACTTATATCTCATTGTGGTTTTAATTTTTACATCCTTCCAAGAGCTTCTCTGTCAATCTCTTTTAAAAAGATGATTACATGGAAAGTCTCAGTATGCGAAATTTTCCTTGAAAGCAGTAATTCAATGAAGAAAATATAGACTCCTTAACAAATGGTCATATTTAGGGAGGAAAAAGACTATGAACCTAAATCTCACATCTTACACAAAAGTAAACTCAAAATGGATTATAGATCTAAATGGAAATATAAAACTATAACACTTTTACAAAATAGGGTAAAACCTTTGTATCCTGGTATAAGATACAAATTTCTGGATGTGATAATACAAGTATAATCCACAAAGGAAAAAAAATCAAGAAATTGGACTTCAAAACTAAAAACTTTTGTTCTGCAGAAAATCTTTTCAGGAGGATGAAAAGACAAATCACAAACTTGGAGAAAACATTTGCAAACACATGTTTGACAAAGATTTCCACATAGTATCCATAAACAACACCCTGAACACAATAGCAAGAAAACAAACACTCAATATAGATAAATCAATGAAATACCCTGCATTAACAGAATGAAGAGGGGAAATCACAGGCTCAACTCAATAGATATAGAAAAAGCATATAGCAAATTCAACAACTTCTCTCTGTAGAAACATTTGACAAACTAGGAATAAGAGGAAACTGTATCAGTAAAATAAAGGTCATATGTGAAAAACCCACAACTAACTCAATAGTGAAAGATTAAAAGCTTTTCTGATAAGATCAAGAAAAAGGCAAGGATGCCTACTTTTGCCACCCTATTCAACATAAAAGTGCTAGCTGGAGCAAGGAGGCAATAAAAAGAAATAAAAGATATCCAAATTGGAAAGGAAGAAGTAAAATTACTTCTTCCAAAGATTAAATGTTCTCATGTAGAAATTCCTAAACACATATACACACACTCCTGTTAACCTGTTAGAACAAACAAACAACAAGTTCAGCAGAATTTTTAGAATACAAGGCCAAATTTGGGTTACCAAATTAGGGTTGTAAAAGGGTCAATAATATGATAAGAATAGAATAAGACTTCTGATGGTAAAGTTAATGTACTATATATAGATGTTGATTTATAATGATACAGAGCTGAAATTTATATAATTTCATAACACAAGTTTACTGCAACAAAAAGCTATTTAACAACAAAAGACTAGCGTAGCCATTTCTCTGAGGAAGATGTGTGGATTACCAAAAAAAAAAAAAATGGTCAAATCATTAGTACTTGGGAAACTAAGTAAAAACTATGATGAAATACCACTTCACACATGCTAGGATGGCCATTATCAATAAATAGAAAATAACAAGTGTGGGTGAGGATTAGAGAAATTGAAGTCCTGTGCATTATAGTTGGGTATATAAAATGGTGTGGTTACTGTGGAATACATAATGGTCATTCTTGAACAATTTAATCATAGAATTAACATATGATTCAGCAATGCCACTTCTAGATATCTACTCATGAGAATTGGAAGCAGGAACTCAAACAGATATTTGTATACTAATGTTCATAGCAGCATTACTCACAAATTCAAAAGGTGGAAATACTCATATGCTCATCAAGAGATGAATAATGGGTAAAACAAAATGTGGTATGTGCATGTAATGGAATACTAATATAGCTTTAGAAAGGAATGAAATTCTAATTCATGTTACGATATGGAACCTTAGAAGTCATTATGCTAAGTGAAATAAACCAGACACAAAAGGACAAATGTATAATTCCACTTATATGAGATAAAATAGTCCAACTTGCAAAGAAAGAAAATGGAATGATAGTTGCCAGGGATCAGGAGAAAGCAGAAAGAGGAGCAATCATTGAATGAAATAGATATAAAAAAGTTCTGGAGATCATCTAGTGGTGGCAGTTGACAAAAGACTTTGACACTTTACCAGAGATAGACAGAAAATTAGACCATGAAAAGATGTTCAATATCACTAACCAGTATAGAGAAATTCAAATTTGAAGTCATGAGGGATACCACTACACATGGCTAAAATTAAAAGTATTGATACTACCAGGTGTTGACAGGATCTAGAATAATTATATGTATCATACATTGTGGAAGTAACATAAAATGGTATAGCCACCCTAGAAAAAGTTTGGTAATTTCTTACAAGATAAACACCATACAGTCTTACTGCTGAGTATGTACCTGAAGAAATGAGAATCTGTGTTCCCACAAATACCTGCAAACCAATGTTTACAGCAATTTCATTGGTAACAGGCAAAACTGGATAAAACCCAAATGTCCTTGCATGGATGAATGGATAAACTGACATAGCCACACAAAATGATGATACATGCAACAACGTAAGTAGATTCCAAGGGCACTAGTCTGAGTAATAATAACCAGTCTGAAATAGTTACATATTGTATGGGCCCATGTATAAAACATTCTTGAAATAACAGTGGTGACTGATAGTGGGCATCACTGTCTTATTCTTCATCTTAGTGGAAATGCTTTCGGCTTTTCACCATTGAGTACAAGATTGGCTATGGGTTTGTCATATACGGAATTTATAATATTTAGGTGGGTTCCATTTATCCCTTTTTTGGAGGGTTTTTATCATAACTGGGTGTTGGATCTTGTTGAAATATTCTAGAAGTAACACATTATAGAGACTGAGAGCAGGTCAGTGATTGCCAGGAGCTAGAGAGGAAGGGGGTGTGACTGGGAGGTAACAGGAGGGCGTTTCTTTGTAGTGACAGAACTATTCTACATTCTGATGATGTTGATGGCTAGAAGAATTGTACATGTGATAAAATCCTATAGTACTACATACACAAAGGGCATATAAAAACTGTGAAAGCTGAGGAAAGTCCCTGAGTTAGAAGTTTCTATTATAGCAGTGCAATTTCTGGCTTTTGACAATGTGTGAGGTATTAATGGGCAAAGCTGGCTAAAGGAAGCATGGAAACTTTTCCAACTATTTTTACAACTTCTTTTAATGTCTTTTCAAAAAGCAAAAAAAAAGTAAGAAGCAGCAAGCTATTGATACTTAACAATATGGATGAATCTCAAAAGCATTTTGCTAAAGCCAGACACAAAAGAGAACACATGGTGTAACTACGTTTATTTCAAGTTCTAAAATAGGCAAACTATAATAAGATGCTGAAAATCAGATCTGTACTTGCTTTAAGGTAATGTGAGGGGAATGACTGAGGTAACTTTCTGGAGTGGTGGAAATGTGTTTTATTGTGCTTACATTAATGTCTTGATAAAACTTTGCTTACCCTAGGGGGGGCAAAAGTCAGTCAAGCCTTTCAAAGGTTGAAATCTTTGAATAAAGGATTTTCTGATGACTCACAAAGAGTCCAAGTGCTCTGAAGACAAATGTTCCTATAACTTCAGAAAGATTTAATTCTGAGAAGGAAAAGGTCAAGTTGACCAACTTACACTTTGCAATTCCTTTCTATAAAATCTACTGAGCAAATGAATATAGACTGGTTATTAAAAAGGCATGGATTTGAAATTTAGCACATTTATCATTTATGCCTTTATTCCCAAACGGCATATCATGCCTACTTTTTCCAAATTGGTCAATTGCAGAGTTAAAAGGAAATCATATGTACCAGAGGATACACGTGCCTGAAATGTCCACAGTCATTATTTGAAAAGAAAATTCTAGACTGAAGTATGATGAGCTCTGTGGTGCCACACTGTCTTTCTAAGTTGGCTATGAACTAGCTGCAATGATTCAGTGTTAGAAGCTGTTTCTGACTCTCCCTGTAAATGTGGCCCAAAAATATTCTCTGTCAAAACACAGTTCAGATTCTGACATCTCTTTGGGTCATTGTTTCTTCCCCTGAAGTTTCTATTTTGCTTTGTAATTTTATTTTTTAAAAGATTTATTTATTTATGCACACAAAAACTGGGGTACAGGCCAGAGGTGTGGGGGTAGGGATGAGAGGATTAACCAGAGGCAGAGTGGGCAGCAAAACAGGCAAACTGACTGAAATACACTGCTGAGGACTGCAGGGGTGAGACAGAGAGGTCTGCTGCACCATGTGGGTCATCTCCCTGGCTGGGATCAAATTCCTGCTGCAGTGACTATGCAGACAGCTTCGGAACACTGCACTTTAATCCTTTGTGCTACCATGAAGGGCCCTGCTTTGTTATTTTAGTAATGGGATCTTTTAGTGTTGGATGGTGTGAGAGGTGACTCACATTTCAGAGGTCCAGAGGTTAAAGCCCACCTCAATGAATTTGTCTCCAATTTTCCACCATAATATTAGCTAGCCTCTAGCTCCAGTTTCCTATATCCAACTTGTGTATTTACTAGTCATTTAAACTCAGTCTGTTCAGAATGGATTCTTGCTTCCCACCCACTCCCAAGTTCCTCTTACCCCATCCATCCAACAACAAAAACCTATGAGAGCCTCTACCTCTAACTGGAGGGTGCTCCTAGTCCAGCCTCTGTACAAAGCCTAGCCACAGGCTCTCTGCTTCTGCCTGCCTTCATTTCCTTACCTCTCATTCTCACTCATCAGCCACAACGATTCCTGCAATCCAGTCACTCTCCAGTTATAATGGCTTCTTAGCATCCTTAGATTAAACTCAGGCTGAGTTTGCTGTAGGGCAACCTGAGCCCACAGAACTATTCTTTGGGATTTCTTGGGGACAAGTGGGAACTGAGGAAGTTCCCAGTAGCTCCACGTACTTTCCAAGGATTAAGCTAAAAGCAACAAAAAAGCAGCTTTCAGAGACTGCCTCTATAGTACAGAATTTGACCACACATGACTCTAGATGCAGATCCCAATATCTGCAATAGGAAACAGTGGGAAAGGACTACCCTCTAGAGTTAGACCAGCCAACATTCATACTGACTTATCTGCCTCAATGAACCAATCTCTGCATCAGTTTATCCATCTGGAAAACCCGCATAATATCAACACTAGTTACCTTGTTACGGCAATTTCCCAGAGAAATCAGACTGCACTCAAAACGGTTGTGGAGAGAGCTCTGCTTGACACCTGAGGGCTCAGTGGGATCTGTCTCAAAAGGCTGAGTCCTAAATTACAGGAATGGTAAGGTTTTATGCAAGTTGTAGGAGGGAACTTGTCATCCCATCAATCATTGCATAATGATTGCATAATGGGAAGGGGGTCGAGGTAGCCATGTCTACTACAGTGGACAAGCAACTTTCTACCCCAGCAAGCATCAGAATCCAAGCAGCAGGCCTAGGAAAATAGCAGAAGCTAAGCAGCAGAACTTGGGAAACTTCCTGCTTCAACCTGAGAGGGTTTCTCTGAGAATAAAATGACCTATGAAAGTACTTACCACAATGCCTAGTACACAGTAGGCACTTAATGCGACAATGAAAGCTCCAGTTCGCATTGTAAGGAACCAACAGACTCTGCTGCGGTCCAGGGAACACTAGACTCGTTCATAAAATGCTAATTCCCATTTCACTAGAGAGGATGAAAGCCCTACTTGGAGCCCAAAGGAGCTCAGGTGACAGAAGGCAGGTTTAACTCTGCAGCTGCGAATCATACTCCTCGGAGCCTTGTGTTTTTCTGGAATCTAACTTTCGCCCTCGCTCCCTCATCCATCCCTTCTAGCAACACTAGTTAGGTACGCGAGGCCGGCGTACCTGTCAACTCCTTCAGGCGCCCCGCAAAGTTGATTGGAGTTCCCCCAGCGGAGGGGCAGGACTAGTTCGGGCGCCACCTCGCCCCGCCCCTTAGCCCCTCACACGAGGAGGGAACCAGCAGGGCACGCCGGCGCCGCGACCTTCCATTGGTCCGCGTCGGCGAGGGAGGCGGGGCCTCGTGCGTGCCCAGCCCCGCTGTGTTGTCGTTGGGCTACAGTTAGAGGACACGGTCAAGATGGCGGCGGTGTCTGCACTGGTGCGGAGACCCCTTCACCAGGTAGGAAGCTGCGCGTGGGCTCAGGATTCTGCCTGCTCCCTGCCCAGCCTCCTCTGAGCACCCTTCCTCTCTCCCCGCTAGGTCTCCGGGCTGCTGAGGAGGCGCTTCCATCGGACCTCGCCTGCGGCACTGCAGGTAACTGGCCTGGACCGTCGCCGGGCCGGGAGTGAGCCCTGTGGCCGGTTCGCGCCTGCGCCGGTTGGGTGGGCGCGGTGGTGACTGGGGCGGCCGCGAGCGCGGGAGGCAGCCTAGTGTTCCGTCCGTTCTGCTTGGGCCGCACCAGCGTGTCACTCCAGAGAGGCTTATTGGGATCAGATGAGCAAGCTAATGACGCTTCTTCCTGCACCCACCTTCTCTATATTTTTTTATTGTGGTAAAATACACATAACATAAAACTGATCATTTCAAAGTGTACATGCCGCAGCAGTAAGGTTATTAACCATATTGTGGTGTCATCACCATCCATCTACAGAACTTTGTCAACACTCCAAACAAAAACTCTGAACCCACTAAACAGTTAACTCCCCATTTCCCTGTTGGACCTGGTTACCTTTATGTATGTTCCGTGTCTGTAATTTATTCTAGGTAACCTCCCAAAAGTGAAATCATACAATATTTGTCCTTTTCCGTCTAGCTTATTTCAGTGAGCATGTTTTCAAAGTTCACGTCTCATGTAGCATGTACTAGGATTTCATTCCTTTTAAAGATGTAATAATATTCCATTGTATACCTATGCCAATTTTATCATCTGTTGATGGTCATTGGATTATTTCCACCTCTTGAATTTGAATGCTGCAATGAAGGTTTGTGTGCAAGTATTGAATTCCCCTGCTTTCAGTCTTTTAGCTGTACATTTTCAAGTGGAACGTTGGATCAGGATAATGTGTGTTCAACATTTTGATGAATCCCCCTTTGCCCATCCCTCCTTTTTTAAAAAACAAACAAACAAACAAACAAAAAAACTGGACGGTTCAACTAACTGGTAAAGTAACTCCTATGTCCTAAAGGCAAAGTGTTTGGCAATACCTGGCATCTCTTGGTACTCTGTATGTAGTGGTATTTTTTTAAGGTTTGTTTTATTTATGCATACAGAAATGGGCTACAGGCCAGAGGTGCAGGGGTGGTGATAATTCACCAGAGACGGAGCAGAACAGGCAGATTGACTGAAATACACTGCTGAGGGGAGCAGCTGGCAAGACAGGAAAGGTCCGTTGTGTCCTGTGGTTCATGCCTGGGGCGGGGATAGAGCTTGCACTGAAGTGGAAAGGGCTTGGCTTAGCTTTGCAAGTGCAGTGCTCCAACTCGCTGTGCCACCAGGAAGGGCCCTGTGGCTGTACTTAGGCTTACTTGGCTCAGTCTGTGCCAGACGTGAAAATAAAATTTCAGAGTTCTTTCCACTCAGGAAACTGGCTTCCACTTAGGAAACTGGTCTAGCTTAGGTGCATGTCAGGGAGTGTTGGGTAAACTCATTAACACATCCAGTCAACCTGGTTATGAGTGATAGAAATGTTATTTTTAAAATTCTTTGAACTTTTAGCAAGAAGCTTCGTCAAGTGATGGTTTTTATATTGTATGTACAATACTCTAGGTAATTATAAAGAAAATTTCAAAAGAATCCTAAATAATCCTGTAGCTTTTTGACCGTTTTCCCATACCCGTGACAGGTGACAGTGCGTGATGCTATAAATCAAGGAATGGATGAGGAGTTGGAAAGAGATGAGAAGGTATTTCTGCTAGGAGAAGAAGTTGCACAGTATGATGGCGCATACAAGGTAACTAAGATGGATGAAAGCTATATCAAATTGAGGTGGGTGTTTGACCCCAGATGTTCTTAAAAGTAATGAGGTTAATAATTGTAGGTTAGTCGGGGCCTGTGGAAGAAATATGGAGATAAGAGGATTATAGACACTCCTATATCTGAGGTAAGCCTTCTATCAGGAAGCAAACCTTTGAAGGGCATGTCTGTTAAAGTATACATTGTTGTAACTTTTGTGAATTTTCACTTATGTTTTGCATTTTACCTCATAGATGGGCTTTGCTGGAATTGCTGTAGGTGCAGCTATGGTAGGTAATCCTCTTCATGAAGTTCATCCAGGAAAACCTTCGTTGTGACCTTTTAGAAACATTGAATACTGGAGGAACATAGTGGTTTTTGCCACTCTTCATTGCTGCTTTTTGTGTTTCTAACATCTACGATTTTGATTGACAGGCTGGATTGCGACCCATTTGTGAATTTATGACCTTCAATTTCTCTATGCAAGCCATTGACCAGGTTATAAACTCCGCTGCCAAGACCTATTACATGTCAGGGGGCCTTCAGTCTGTCCCTATAGTCTTCAGGGGACCCAATGGTGCCTCTGCAGGCGTAGCTGCTCAACACTCACAGTGCTTTGCTGCCTGGTATGGGCACTGCCCTGGCTTAAAGGTGGTCAGCCCCTGGAATTCAGAAGATGCAAAAGGACTTATTAAATCAGCCATTCGGGATAACAACCCAGGTTAGCAGAATTACCCTTGGGTCTCTTGAATATGAAAAAACTAAAATCTTTATATGGAAAGAACCACTAAAGGCTCCTGTTTAGGCTTACACATCAAAAGTGTTAATGATTTAGAGATAATGGTATAAAGAGAGTAAAAATGTGGATTTGCGTATATAAGGGGGGCAGTTAGATAAAGGAGACATTGACTGCATACCTACAATTGTTTAACCTCTAGATAAAATTAGGATTGGTTAATACACAAAAGTCTGTACCTACCATCCTGTAGGCTAAACTAGACACATGGATTTGGGGCTTCATAATTAACATGGTAAAACTTTCCACAAAATGAATGAAATGTTATATATGAATTTTTAGTCTTGTATTACCTTTGATTAAATATTTTTATTTTTCAGTGGTGGTATTAGAGAATGAGTTGATGTATGGCGTTCCTTTTGAACTTCCCTCAGAAGCTCAGTCAAAAGATTTTTTGATTCCTATTGGGAAAGCCAAAATCGAAAGGCAAGGTAAGAGTATAGATTTAACCATTATTTGTGATCCAGCCCCGCTGTTTATGTTGGTGAAATTTAACCTAGACATTATTGACTTGGAAATTAGGATGAGCTCAAATTAACAATGTATCATGCTCTGGGTGCTCAAATACTTGCACTTTTCTAAATCTTAGTCCATTAGATCTGCATTTCATCTCTTGGAAGGCTGCCACATTCCTTATCTTACTGGGATGAAGTTGAGCTGAAGATTTTACAAATGGACAAGAGCCACAGCTGGCTGCATCATCTTCAGTTCAGACCTGACCTCTGATCTGTGACACTCTGTTTCAGGGACACATGTAACTGTGGTTGCTCATTCAAGACCTGTAGGCCACTGCTTAGAAGCTGCAACGGTGCTATCTAAAGAGGGAATTGAATGTGAGGTGAGTGGACATTCACTTGTTCATAGCAAATCAGAGAGGTTCCTTTTAAACTTCAGACCCTAGGAGCTCAAATTCTGTAACAAGCTATGTGGAAACTTGCTTTGTTAGGCTGCTTCCATGGAAAGCTGGAAAATGACTTGCTTTCAAACACTTAGCTTTATAACACCCATGTCCTGGATCTTTTAGAATTGTATCTGCTTTTGCAAGTTAAGGTCCAGCCTTGGAGCTGGGGATGGGAGAAGGGAAAACAGAAATCAGCGTCTTAATCCTTTGATTCTAGAACCTACCACTTGATAGTTACATTTGAGCAAATTATGTCCTCCAAATCCAGTTTTCTAAGCTGTAAAATGGGGATAAATCATCTCCCCATTCCCCCAATAGGACATTGAGGTAAATGTGAAAATTACATCTAGTATAGTGTCTGGTGCATGGAAAGCAGTCAAATGTTAGGTACTATTTTGATGAGAAGGAAGATAAAGCTAGGGAAGGATAAGTGGAGCTTCTCTAGTAAGTTACATATTTTTGTTTTTAATTAGTTTCCCTTTTTATATTTTCTTCAAAAATAATTTTTTTCTGTTATATAATTTAAAATAAATAAATAAATAGATTTTTTTAGGTCCAGTGATATAACAGGAAACAGAAAGGATATAGTATTGTGGAGATGAAACTGTGTTTGTGATGCAGTGGCTCTGTGAACTTTATTATATTGCTTGTTTAGGTGATCAACTTACGTACCATCAGACCAATGGACATTGAAGCAATAGAAAACAGTGTCATGAAGACAAATCATCTCGTAACCGTGGAAGGAGGCTGGCCACAGTTTGGAGTAGGAGCTGAAATTTGTGCCAGGATCATGGAAGGTATTTCAGAGAAACTGGTTCTGTATTAGTCGAGCTGTCATAAACATTTTATACCTAGATGTTGGATAAAGACATCAAAACCGAGGGGTGGCCAAATCACTTGCCAAACTTTGTCAGTTTGGCATTTTTCTCCTTTAAAAAGCAAAACCAGAACAATTCCCCACAATTAGCATCCTTTTCGTTAGGTTTTCTCTTTGGGCAGCCACACCTCTTGTGCCAGGGAGGTAGAAGTGTTCAGCTGGCTTCTCTTTCTCTCTCTCAGTTGGGCCTCCTTCTCTCCTAGGCCAAGCATTCAATTTCCTGGACGCGCCTGCAGTTCGTGTCACTGGTGCTGATGTCCCTATGCCTTATGCAAAGATTCTAGAAGACAACTCTGTGCCTCAAGTGAAAGACATCATATTCGCAATAAAGAAAACATTAAATATCTAGTTTGGGCTTGAATTTCAAGTCATTGGGATTTACTTAAAATATTTGCTGACACTTGACCTGGATTGTACTGTAATACCTTATGGCTCAAAAGCAGCAACACAGATGTTTTTGTATTGGGAAGAAGTTTAAATGTGCTTGTATATGGAAAGCTCCATTCTCCTTCCCTGGGCTCCATGCTTTTTTTTTTTGTCTGTTACAGTAACCATGTTCTTTGACTAAGACTAATGTAAACTTTCACCTTTTGATTAGAAGGACAAGATATGAATGTGGCTGAGTCCCAATGAAAGATATATCCAAAAAGATGTATGTAAAATAAAAGCATATAATCTACATTTACTGTTTTTTTTTTGATAAGGAATAAAAGAATTCCTACTGACTTTTTACATTCTTGAAATAACAAAGGTGTAGTGGAAGTTGTAAAATTCTACTAAACTGGTGCCATCAGGAACTAGTCACTAATTATCAGTCATCTAGATTGCATCACACAACAGGAATTTGTCCACACACTCTTTACAGGCCTGGTTATAATAGTTTCCTTCAAAATTCATGTCAGGTTTTTCCCATTGTCAAAAAAGATGATAAACACAAGTGATCCCTAATTTAAATAGGAAGATAGTTAGCTCTTATTAAGAGGGAGAACATGACAAAGGAAACAGATACTACAACATGGGAAGGAAACTTTAGAAATACTTTGTGGACCTATTCTTTATGTTTACAAGCAGCACTACAAAAGCTATCATTTAAAATACCAAGCCAAGCAATAAACAACGCATTTTCTTGGCTTACTTTAATAAAAAATACAATTGAACATTTATCACAGATTACATGAAACTGTACACAATGACATTCTCTCTGCATAGTAACCAACACTGATGTGTGTAATTTGAATTTTTAAATGGATTATTTATAATCCTTTAAAGTGCAATTTATTTAAGGGTTTAAGCAAATCATAGGATAAAGGGTCTTCCCTATAAATGAGTAACATTAAAAAAATGATGTATTTGGGTAAATCTTTCAAAAACCAAAACTGATTTCTGTAGATGCCAAATTTACTTGGGTTGTAATAATTATTCCCACACACCCCAAACTTGACTTAATTGCTGAGGATTAAAAAGATCTAGTTGGCAAGAACTTTTTCTGATGTTACCAGGTTTTGTCTTTTCAGCACTTTCTAACTTAAAGGAACTCTGAGTCGAGAGTAGTTGCCTTAGCAGCCCTGGGTGCTATTACCATAATGGCATTCCTGTTAGAACTTAGAGAATGTTACAAGCTTCCCCGTCTGTTTGCCAGGAAAATGAGCTCAGCTGCGTCTCTGACTCAATGACATAACTATGCTTCAGGCTATAGTGTTAATGTCTACGATGAAATTAAGGTAGCAAAAATGGTAATTATATCTAAGAAGTAACTGGAAAATGCTTTAGGATAGAGAAATGAACAATGAGAGAAACAATTTTAGGAGCTGACAGGTTAGAAGGGGCTGTAACACACAGACCGTTCGTTCACTCTGAATGTTGTCATTGTTTTTGTTATTTTGTCTGTTTCCTTCATGGATTTCATATGTTCATATGAATACCGATTTTAATATGCTGCTGCCTCAGGATGCTCATCAAAAGATGAACAAAACTCCTTTAATAAAGGAACAAAATATTTCCTAAGGTAGCAAAGCCAGCCTGTCTTTACTCTACTTGAAGAAAATTTCCTTCTTGAAAGCTTCATAAGTGAACATCTACAAAATGTGGTTGTACTGGCTCAGCAATTCATCCAGGAAGAGGGTACTTAGGGAGGGGAAGAATAGAACTTCTCCCTCCAAGTGTATACACAAAGCTTTAGCTGATCTTGGGGGCACTGTGATCACAGGTTTCGGCTTTCCTCAAAGTTCCCTTTTGGAAATTCTGGATGGAGCTGAGTAAGGCCCCTCTGCTCATGCCATTCACAGCCTGGGGCAGGAGCTGTGTGGGCGCCTCTGTGCTCGCAGGAGGCAAGGGAACTGCTGGTGGTGGAGGTGGAGGCGGAGGTGGAGGAAGTGGAGGTAACGCAGATACCCCTGTGGAGGAAAAGGGACAGTCAGTACCGTCTCCGACACAACACACGCTACGACTCAGTCTTGGCAGAATGCACTTTGCTGACATTGAGAGAGTTCTTCCTCAGGGGACCAAGGCACATGATTTTAGATTTTTTTTTTTAAAAACACTTAAAGTCAGAAGCACCAAGGGGAAATTAAATAAAGGTTGACATTTCCCCTAAATACGAGTCAAGCGAGAAAAGACTGAACAAATATCACAGGTTATAGGAAACTACACACAGTGACATTTTCTGGGGAGGCTCTAATTCCATTTTCAAATTTTAGTAGTGGTCCCAGAAGGTAAGTTCCATCAGTTGCTTTAGCCGCGTCCCAGGCAGTTCCATCCATCTATTTCTGAGCTAGAGTTAAATACAGACATCTGTGCATGCAGAGGTGGGCTACCTGCATCTCAGTTACTGACATGGAATGAGTGGTTCTCTAGCTGCTGCAACATACAGCAGGACTTGAAGGATATATGAGATTTAATGTCAAATGACAGCCAATGCAGGGCTGTCAGCGAGGAACTAGTGCCTGCCAGGTTCCACAGGGGCGTCTGTCTCAGTTATTTTCTATTCTGTACTAAAGAAATACAAAATGCTAATAGTTTTTAGCAATCAAAGCTGGGGCCAAAGGACTTTCTTTCCGGGCAGTGGTATTCCCAGGGAGGCACCTTCTTCAAGACTTCTTTTCCTTGGTGGCCCCCACCGAAACAATGGGGTTCTGCTGCTCAGCACCTATGCCGACTCAGCAGGGACTGACTGTCCAGCTCTACCCTAGCGGGCAATGCAAAGAAAACCGGACAGTAATCTTAAATTGTCCCTTAGCTTCCAGACACGTGAACATTTAGTACTTGAATTTTATTTTCTTAAGTCAATGAATGAATTGTTCTCTGGACAAATTCAAAGCAGACAAAAATGTTCTATTTTGAAGACCTTGCCTGTGCCACAGGGTTAGTTGCTCCATCTCCTGTGAACGTTACAGGTTTTGGTAGCCACCTGTTTTTATTCTTACCCTTAGTTCCCTCCTGGGGCTGTACCAGGAAACCCTCAGCAGGTGGCTGCTCCCTAAACTGCTACTGTACCACGGTGGTAGCAGTTACCACTTGAGTATATGGATGGATTCAGACTCACCAATCTTATCAACTTAGATATGTGTATCCTTTTTACTAAGGGTGGCAGGCAAGGGTTAAAGCCTCGTATTTCATAGGAAACCACTTACCTTCTTTCACATCTTTTACCCAAACCTAAGGCAGCTGAAATTAAAGAATCACACATACACTTTCATGCTTTGCAATCTTAGAAGTCTCAAATAATGATAATACAACAATACATATAAGCATTACAGACAAACAAGCAACATGTAATTTTCATTGTTTCATACAGTAACAAGTAATGAATGAAGTTCCATGCCACGGTGGAATGTGAAAAATGTTCTGGGCTTTCCATTACAGAGTTAGAAAGCTAAAAAGAACTTCAAACCTGAAATGACTGTTGGGTGAGACCGTTGAGCAGGGACAGCAAGTGTAGGATATAAGACTCTTCAGAAGGGGGTTGTGGGTTATGACCAGTGAAATACAGGGAGAAGGGGAGAGTGCTTAAATTAAAGGTTCTTGGAATTTCACTGCAGCAAGGAGCAATGGAATCTGGACTTGACACTCAGGCCTCCATGTGTACCAGAATGGAGTGCCAGTGTTCCTTCATCCCTGCTTTGTGCTTTAACTCTTGCAGAAGCCTCAGTCCAAGATAAAAAAATGGGCTATAAAAGCACTTTGCACTTTTAACATTCTGCTAAAGGCACAGAACCAACCATCTAAAGAGCAGCTACACTCAATTCCAAGATCCAAAAGCAAGAGGTGGGGCCGGGAACTGATGACTGGGCATGGCTGTCCTCTCATCGCAGAGTAAAACTGCTTGGCCCTGGCCAGGAATCAACCTTGACTTTGGCCTTATTACCAGGCACTCAAAGTTAGCAGTACAAATTTACTATCCCAGAGCTTGGGGTTTAGGGGTGGTGGTCAGGAAATGGATCTTTACTTTCCAAGTAAAGGTTGAAATTAGTACAAAATTAAATGCATTTCTTTGAATATGTAGGTAATGTAAAGAAACACCCTGCCCAAAGCACCACAGGGTGTCTGTGCCTGTAAAGCAAACAGGATGCTGGGGGCTGTGCAAAAGGCGAGGCTGTTCATCCCAGGGGTGAGGGGCAAGTCACCTGATGTCCACTCACGGAGGCCAGGCCAATCCCAAAGGATAGCAGGCCTGCACTGCTTCACCACACCTGTGGAAACCAGTGCAGATCTTGATCAGGCTGACTAGGGTGAGCAAGGCCAGAACCCGGCATACCAGCCCAGAACGCTGGAGGGGACAGAAGGTCCAGGCATCACCAGGTCAATACTGGAGAGGCAGGAACACAGACTGGGAACTAGTCTCTGACTACAGGCCCATCGGGTATTTTCTTTTTACTTTTTCTTTTTTGCATTTTCTACAGTCCATAATCTTCCTTTAAAGATTCACTGGGGCTTCTGCTACAATACGTTAGTAACAAGGGGAGAGGAGTGTGCTAGTAAGAACTATATCCAGAGATGGCTGTTTGGCCTGTGACAAACTGGGGAACAACTGTCTAGTTCTTGAACTTCCCCACTTCTTAGTGTGAAAGAGCTCCTTTGCCCCAGCAAGGGGCATGTCTAGACAAACTGGACAGATTTTGTGTTACAGTAATTGCCAGCTGAACTATCCAGCTTTGGCCTGCAACAACATTGGACGAGGGAGGCTTATTTGCAGTTATAATCAGTCCTGATCTCTCCAGTCTCACTTTCTCTTAGACAAAACCCACAAGAGCCAACTGCTACACACTCCCAGGAATCTCATCTCCAAACCATATGGGAACCTGGCAGTCCAGTGGAGGTCCTGCAACAGGGTACGGTCAGTTGCATTAAGAACATAGGTGAAATCTATGGGGAGCGCTGGGCCAGAAGCTTCTCACCAGCCAAATGCTAGGACCAAGGCTCTCCTTGGAGCTGGCTTTCGCAGTGGACAATCTCCATATCTCTGTCAACCAACAAAGGCCAGAACAATCTAGTTCCTTTGTGGCTCACAGAGGTGGGAAGGCCAGGTGGCCACTAGAGTGACGTACCTACCTGCTCCCCTCCAGGGGGAATGGAGAGCAGGGACCCCTACAAGCAGGCAGCCCCCAGCTCTTGGGAACTACCTTTATTTACCTCATGCCTCAGATGAGTGAGATGTTCTCACATCCCAACTCTAGAACTATTAAGGGTGCTTTAAAAAAATAATAATAAAACTTTTATCAGGTATAAAAGTAAGTTGTCTCCCTAGTAACAGAAACTCCACTGCCTAACACTTGCTCTTACATCAGAGTGATAAGAAACCAATATTTTCAAGAGAACTGTGAGATAATGGGTTTCAAAATTAAATGCCATGCAGTTGATTTGCAGATTTTAGAAATGTGTTTCACAACTAAAATCACACTGAGAATGAAGATTTTGAAGGTCATGATGAAAATGAAATGAATATAAATAAAGTCACTTGGGTGCCTTTTAAAGATGCTGTATTTCATTTAAATGTTTAGATAAGAAAATGCCTTGAATCTGTTTTCCCATTTGATCATGACTTCAGTGATCTAAAAGCACTGGGTCCCCTTTCACATACAGAAACAGAGCATCTTTAAAGTTAGATAAATCAGTATAGCTTACTTTACCGAAAAGTCACGTTCAAAATGGTGCATGCTCTACTGAAGACAGCAAAGGGAGAGAGAGGGGACAGAGTCATTATTCAGATTTTAGCGTCATTTAAGCCAACAGAAAGAGACAGTAACATATTAGTCTGAATCACATGCTGGATAATCTCGCCACCAAACTAGAATACACTTAAATTAACCACAAAATGTACTGGCTTGTAACCCAATTGTGACCCTCTCAGAACATGGCAACTGTACCAGGAAATGAGTGACACTTCTTATCATGTCCTCATTTTTCTCAGCCAATGGGTGCTATTTCACTTGCTTACAAGCACAAAACGCACTTCAAAAGCCCAGGGAAGGTTTACCTCCCTTGAAAAGCGCTGTGAGTGTAATCTGTGCTATTGCTGAATGCAACTTCTCAAAGTGGGAGGAAACGGTGAGCACCACTTGTCCAAGCACATCTTCTACTGATTAAGATGGGGACTTGCCTGTTTAAAGCTGGTAAGGGCAAGAGCACAGGGCAGGGGCTTTTGGACTGCTCCCTTGCTGGCCACAGCGCTCTTCAAAGAAGCGTTCAAAATTCTAAGTATTCATCTCTTTCTGTGGGTCTCATTGATTTGTTTATTAAGCTCCCTCACTCTGTGCCCAAAGGCTCTGTTTTCCCTCCTCCAGCTCTAGCTATGAAACTTTCTCCCCACTCATTCTTAGAGTGGTTTTCTACAAACTGGCTCTCTTTAAAATTACTCCTCAGTGGGCTAGAATTCTCTTATATTCATACCCTATAAGTGATGATACTTTACTGCTCCTAAAACCCTGCATATACTATGTACTTAATAAGGTCAGGAAGTCTTTTGGGAAGACAGTGGCCAAGAATGGAAATCACCTGCCCAAGGTCACAGCTGGAAATCGGAAGAGCTAGGACCCCAGCTGGGTTTTTAGACTACATTCAAGGTCTCCCCCCCACCCACCCCCCAGTAAACATAGTTGTTTAATACAGGCCTGCAGTGGACCCAGAGCACCCAAAAAAATGGGTGAGGTTTTCATTGGGTATTTGTGAACAAAGACAGACCAAGTTTGAATCCTGGCTCTAGCAGCCCCTACTGGTATGACCTTGGTCAAGGTCCTTTAACCCATAAGAACCACTCTTTATCTGCAGAATGTAGCTACAGTAGAATGCATTGTCATTGAATGGGAAAGTATTCAAAAGGATTAATCAAAACGAGTATAAATCCAAAAGTGCCTCAAAATGTTAAACATGTTTACTAAAAGCCCCAATAATTTAGGGTCTTGTTCTTACTTAACTTCCCCAACATACTCTTTTTCAAGCCTGTTTGTTGTTTGTTTTTTAACACAATAGCAAGGCAACAGGAAGAAAAGTGTATGTAAATTGGGGCCTTGTAAATCATTCAGCTCTATAAAGCCAAAGAGTAAACACAAGTTGGTGACATTTACCATGAATAAGTGAGTATAAATAATTTTAAAATTTCATGAAAGAGAAACCTTCTAGAGGCAAGAGACATAACCTTTAGCAAAAAAGAAAGTACTAGGAATGTTTTCACTGAAAGAAGAAATAAGTAGCTTTAGAGACTCCCAACCCACCTGAGGGGTCACCAGCAGGGAGGGAGGTGATACCTCCCACCTGTTTGGTCCAGATCTCAGGAAGAGGACCCTGGGGCAAGGAGGTGCAGTAAGACCAGGAGGGCCCAGCCCTACACAAGTGCTGGAACGTGGCTCATGAGAGTAAGACCATTCACTTAGAAACCTCTGTCACTTCTGTGCATCCTCAGAGTAACTGAACTGAAGGCCACACTCAGTTATTATAAATGTGCTTAAAAATGGATGCTTTGAGGAAGAAGGCAATGCTGTCAATGGGACTTGCCTAAAATTGATCTACTGCATAGCAAAATACCAAAGGGCAGGGCCACTGCAGATTTAGAGGATGCTTGGATAGAAGGGCCTGAGTCGGTGTCCTCCAGCTCCCACTTTTTAGCCTTTTACAGATAGGGGAACCAAGGCCAGACACAGAAAGTGACTCATGCGAGGTCTCCCAGTAAGTGTGTGGAGTTCCTGTGCCGGGCCCTGTCCAACCCTGTGCACATGAACTTCACTAGGGAGTCATCATAACCCCACGAGACTGGCATTCCTAGTATCCTCACTGGCAAGTGGGAAACCTGAAACAGAGGGAGGTGGCGTGCCTTTTCCAAGGTTGTAGAAGTAGCAAGTGACGGCCCTCGGGTTTAGTTCCCAAGGGCTCCCAGGCTGAGCTGAGAGGCACCTTTATCAATCTAATAAGGAATTCCTTTTCAATACCAGTCCTTGAAAGTGGAAAATTTTTCCTTCATTTCTTGAGCAAGTTGCACTTCACCATAAAGCTAAGACACTATTCCTGCCTTAGCTACTGAAATGCATGCTTTTATTTTAAAACCAGAAACCTGGAAAACTAACGGTATAATTTGGAGTAAATGCAATTCTAATAAGATGGGCAGTGTGCAGAGAGACAGGGAGATGAGCTTAAAGCTGAAAGATTAAAGATAGACCCGCCTCCTGTCCTGGAAGGAGAGGCCAGTCCAAGCAGGGGTGGGACCCCCCAGAAGTGGCTGCCCCGAGGCTGCGAGTTTGCCCTGTCACTCAGCAGAGCCTTTGAAGGTGGAGAAAACCACTGCAAATCCACCAATAAGGATTTACTGAGCTTTTCCCATGGAGCACCATGTGCACTTCCATCACTCACAGGTGCTACCTCTTTCCCCCTCCCTGATGCTTGGCATTAGGCATTCCAGATATTGCTTCTTGGGGGACAAGTTTTTCAGGTGGAGATTCTCCAGTTAAGAAGTAAACTACTGGGAGAAAGAAATGCCATGGTTGGATCCCAAGGCAAACATCTGCTTGAATTTGTCTATCATTTTGGAACTCCTGAGAGACACTAGACCATGCCAGCCGAGGCCTTGTCTGGCTGTTCACGCCTGCAACGTAGGACCAGGCACAGTGGCTGGCATACCGCAGGTCTCAACTGATGTATGTCAAGGAACTGAAAGCAACACCTCAGTGTGGGATGCCTGGTTTCGGACCTGAAAAGCTAGGTTGACGGGCAATGCTATTTGCCTTTTTTTTTTTTTTTATGAGATGCATTATGCTAAGTGTCCAGAAGAGGTCAGAGTACAGTGTTTGGGGCTACATCAATAGTTTCACCAACAAAACATTAAAGGAGCTATTGGGAAGAGGAGCCTTGCAAGATTCCTGGTTAAGCCCATCTCTGCCAGGACTCTCGCTTGAGACCCCATGTGTTCTCCGTCCCAGTCCCACAACACCCCTTCAGCATGGGTGCTTGCAAATTCACAGCAGTGCTCCCTACTGCTCCCACTCTCTTCAGGCGAAGATTTTCCAATACTGACTAATTCCTAAAGACTCTTCTTTTTTCTTCTCCCATTCCAAAAGTTATCTCTTCTCATGCAAATCTGCTACCATATAAAATAACTCCCATTCAAAACACAAGAAAATGAGAAGATTCACCAAGAAATCCAAGTAGACTGAGAATTCCCCAAGGCTTTGAAAATGAGAACTGGTGGTTAACTTCTCAGCACTATATCTAATGCACACAGATGCTGCACACGACTCAGCCTCATTTCTTAAAGCAAGTTTATGAATTCTTACTATTAATTCTCTCCAGTTTCCTTGACATACCTAATGGGTATGAAATTAACATCCTATCTTCTATAAAGTGCCTCACCAGGAGCTAGGAAGTAGATTGCCAGAAATTTCAGACCAGCCTACACAAATCCCCTGTATGAAAGAGAAGTTTATTTTCTGTCTTGATCAATATTTGGAAACTTTCTTAAAAAAATATTCTGACAAAGTCACACAGGAAAAAAATATATTAAATATCATCCCTTGATATAAGGGTTCAGATAGGCCCCAGCTGCAGAACACTCTCAGCAAGCCACCAGTGAGCACCCGCAGCGAGAGACACCCTGCAGCCAGAAGTAATTCATTCAAACTAGTCCTACATTGCTGGTCATTTTTTTGAGAAGGGTCAGTAGAAGCATTTGAGCATGCTCTTGGCAGCTCCTGGGGGCATCTTAAGTATAAATGACTATGGCATCATCAATTCATAAATCAACCCCAGCTAGAGACTCCTTTTACACAGCTGCAGCAACTCTTGCCAGCATAGCCCATAAGCTCTGAGGGGCAGAACCCGCTCCTGGACACCTAGAATATCTGGTTCATTTAAGAAGTGAAAGGAGAGATACTGGTGGCCCCAATGTGTTCCTGTGGGGCTTGCAATGTGATTAGGATAGAGAAACTGGTTCAAAAGGAAAAGAGAGCATTATGAAACCACAGAACTAGAGATTTCTGTACATATTCCTTGTGATTTTCCTTTTACATTTTTCAAGCAAAATGCAGTATTTAGTTGACAAAGGCTAGCCACAGAAAAAATACTCAAAGGACTAAATGTGTTACAGAGCAGCGTAGAATGTAAATAGTGATCAGGAACTGGGTGGTTATTTCACCTTCTATACCACTCCACCATTATGGTGGGGCTCCTTGGGGGAGAGCTCAGGTGGGAAGGGTCCCCAGGCAGCCAGCTTTGTTGTTTGTTGTGAGTGCTTAGCAAGATAAGCTCAGATCTGAGGAGCCCTGTGTGAAGCTTTGTAGCTGGAGGCAGAGGACAGCTGATTACCCTACTCCCTGTGAAATCCAAGTTTAGAAGTCTCCGCACTAAGCTCTCCCAAATGATACCACTAACTTGCATCCCACTAGCTTCTCTGAGGAAGGCTGGTGCTGTAGAACCCCTGAAACACTTGGGTCAAGGTGGGGTTGGGGGGGGGGAAGTCCACGTCCTCCTCCTGTGGGGTAAAGAGGAAGGTGGCAGGCTGCTTTGACTCCATCACTAACCTGCTGTAGAAGGTGGAGTTGGCGAGGAAGGGGATGTGAGAGGTGAGCTGGCCCCAGATCCTGCTGAGAGAAAACATAAAGAAACCATCAAGCTGAGACCCACCATTGTCTGAGAATCTACACTTAGCCTAGTGTGTAAGTCTTGTGGTAGAAGATGAAGAGGGACAGAGAATGTTGGGACTGGAGACAACGACCCTGGCTACCACCAAGTGCTCAGTATGTTTCCTTCCCCAGCTATGAAATGCTCAAGGCCTCCCAATGCTCCCCATCTCTGCCTGGTTTGAAACCAATTTTACGTAATTGACAACTTAGGCAATTGGTTGACCCAATGCCTATCCCTGGGTAATGAATGACAAAATGACAGTGACCACAGCAGTCCAGGTGACAGAGAGGTGCACACCAGTGTGGCAGAGGCCTTTCCAAAGCAGGTGAGAATTCCTCACAAGATCTACCCAACAATGCCCTCTGTAGAAGTTCTACTTTATCAGCAGTACATTCAATTACATAGGTTCAACCTATGCACCTACGTGAATTTACCAGCCTTTTCAGTCACAGGGGCCACGCTGGTGGTGCAAGGGGTTAAAGCACAGTACTAGGAAGCTATCAGTAGCCACTGCAGCACAAATTAAATTCCTGGCCAGGGAGGTGACCCACATGGCACAGCAGACCTCTCCTGTCTTGTCTGCTGCTCCCCTCAGCAGTGTATTTCAGTCTGCCTGTTCTGCTCCTCACTCCGTCTCTGATGAATCCTCTCACCCTCCATATCTGGTCTGCACCCCAATTCTTGTATGCATGAATAAACCTTTTTTAAAAATTCAGTAACACCCCTTATTTATATTAAAACAATGTGCATATTCCTATATGTTGCACTCTTTTCCTGGACCTAGGTCACCTTGTTATGTTTCAAATATCACAAAGTTCTCAGCACCATCCCACTGCTCAGAAATCTCCGTAAAATCTCTTTCTGGGCTGACATGGAAGTAGCCCAAGAGGCATATGGAGGTTCCCACATAAGCTTCCTCCTCCACAAAGAGGCCCTCTCTCAGGGCCAGGCTCCAGGGAGGGCTGTGAGCATCCCCTCAAGACACCACTAGCTGTTCTGGGGACTCCAACCACCACTCATCCACCACTCATAGCTCTGGGCAGGAAGTGGACAGCAGGCATGAGGATTACTCTTCTAACGAACCATACTCTTTTCCACTATTTGCAGCATTCTACTATCTTTTTATAAAACATGAGAGTTTTACTGAAAAAAGTGGTAAAACTCAACCAATGCTATTTTCTTTTTTTTTAAGATTTATTTATTTCTTCATACAGAACTGAGGTACAGGCCAGAGGTGCAGGGGTGGTGAGAGGATTCACCAGAGACAGAGTGGGGAGCAGGACAGACCGAATGACGAAGTACAATGCTGAAGGGAGCAGCGGGCAGGTCAGGAGAGGTCTGCTGTGGGCAGGCGGGAATTGAACTCATGTGGAAGTGGCTTTAGCTTTAACCCGCTGTACCACCAGGGAGGGCCCAACTAATGCTATTTTCATACTGGTTTGTAGTGCTCACACAGATTTCAATGGGGAGATTAAACTTGCAATTCCGATGGGCTCTGGAGATGATCTGTTCATTTCCATCAAGTGCTACTTCACTCTCCTATACTCCTTGAGATAAGGCAGTGTATTGGAGTCCTCAGAATCTTATCTGGATGCATCCGGCACAGAGCCTGGCAGGAAGGCAGGGCCTCTAGCAGGCAAAAAACACAGCCTTCCTCTGATTTTATAAAGTATTAGCTGCCGAACAGAATGTCTGCCAGACATATAGACTGGAGACACAGGTCTTGGCCTAATGATGATAATTTGGCCCATGTCCATCCCATCAAACATGAGGAAAGCAGACCTCCAACTCTGAAAGTACCCACCAGCCATTACAGTGTCTTGCCCCTCTCCTTCCTCTCCTCCATACCAAGGGGTTTGCCCTGGTCCTCACTAGGGTTCACAGAGTCCTTACAGGGGTTTCACAGGGTTGGGGCCTTCCCTCCTTCTCTTCTCTTCTTGGTCCCCCTGGGCCCTTTCTGGTCTAGATTCTGCAAGCAGTGGTGTCAGCGTGACACTCACCCTCCTAGAGCCTGATTTTTGTCCCCCCCAACTCTTATCATCCCTCGCCCACACCACCTGCATTCTCCAGCTGTGGCTAGTTCATCCTTCACACCTGTGTACCCCTCACTGCTTCTCCTTGTGCCACTGCAGACATGCTCCTCGCTTCCTCACCTAGGAGACTGAGAGGGTATGAGCTGTGAGCTCTCAGTTTCCTCCCTTTCTTCCACTTTTGAACACCTCTGCCTCTTTATTCACCACTCTTGGCTTCTGCCCCAAGGAAAGATAGAGGGCTGGAAGTGCTTCCTCTAGGGCTGACACTGCCAGCTGGGCTCTTGATGCTGAGCCCTTGGCCTTCTGTCCGCCTCCATCCTGTTCCTATCACTCCATCACTCTCTTTTGTATCATCAGCTTCTCCCTCTCTGCTGGTGCTTCTTCTGCCAGAACATGTATACAGCACACCTCCACCTCAAAACCTCCCCTTCCTTTAGCGCTCCCAAGGTTAAGCCAAAGTTGTCTGGGTTGGGACTGTCTCCCCTTCTTTTTGTGGAACTCTATTTCACAAATTCACAAGGTAGAAGAAGTGGAATACCCTAAGGGATCACTCAAGCTGGCCTTAATTTCCAAAGGTGGAGCAAAGGTGTAGCCATCTCAGGTCTTCTTGAATTAAATTTTTAGCAGACCACACACTTCCCTTAATCTACTCAGGAGGGTACCATGTGCGGACTGGAGTGATGGAAGGATTTTAGGCAGTTTTTGCTTGTGTATGACCTACTGAAAACACTGGCCTTGCATTGTACGTTGGGTTGATTTTTTCACCATAGTTAATGATCACCTTTGGTTAATCAAGTATTGCCACCAGAGAAGATGCTGGATCTGAGGCCCCTGCCAGCACTTGAGTCCTGTGAGTCTATGGACACTATCACAATACTTCATTAGGGACAGAGTCCTTTTGTTTTCTACATTCACTACTGCACTGCCCAGTCTCTGCCACCAGAACCCATGAATTCTTGACTTTTATTCTTGGCCTTATGATTCTGGATGCTCCATAATCTCTAACAAGTTACCTGAATTATTAGAGTTGCTGTATTTTGCTGAATGCTCTTCACTATTTTCAACAGCAGATCGTTTTGACTTCTTCAAAAAGGAGAGAAAGAGAATAGCAAAGAATAAACACACTGAAGCTGGGAGTTAAAATAAAATGTTTTCCAGACATACAGTTTACTGTTAGTAACATACAAAGTCATTATTTGGCCTCATAACTTAAGACAGTGAGGAAGCCACAAACCAAAACCAAAGAGGAAAAAAAACACCCAAGAATTCTGACTTCACTGACTCAAGACAATTGTTTCCTCCAATTCTATCAGGCCAGCATAAGCCCCACAGGCCAGGAAATTGTGTGGTTCCCTTTGCTGCCACTACTCTAGACCTCCCTTCCATAAATTACAAACCAGTCACTTGAAATAGTTTTAACTTTCTAGGAGATAACAGCACAAAAGCTGTCATTATGGTACAAAAATGTGTACCATTACCCCAGAACTCCTCACATTGCCAACAATTCATAGAAATGATTCAGAATCACCAGGCTTACCTTTCGAGCTAGGATTTTTCTCTTTTTCCTTTCTTCTTCAGATCCATGATGAGACTGAGCTCTAGTTAGTCTTCGATGCTGGTGAATCTTTAAGAGACCACAGTTCACCACGAATGTAAATGTATCTCGTGCTAATAAAATCCCTAACAGGCTTTGCCAAAACAAATTATTTGGATGGAAAAAAATCTCTCCTTACTCAGCCTGTCTGCCTCCAAACTTAGGTCTGGATGTCTTGGGGAAAATAGGCCAGTGGATGAATCTTCCTACTTTCCAGTTCCTTCTTGCCTTTCTCTCTTTTAAAGATGAGTATGTTCCCCTGTACCTTCAGGACATGAGCCATACCGTCCCTTCCATCACCCAGCTTGCCCTGGTCACAGAGGATAACCTTCTTTGGGGGACATGCTTGTATCTCCTACAGGCTGAGCTGATAGAGGGCAGGACTGTAAAGTTTCAGCTGTCTCTCAGGATCAAGCCTGGAGCTTGATTTAGAGCAAATATGCAAGAAATGCTTATGGAATGAACAATTAGCCAAAAGTAAATCACTGTGAATACCACAACAGAGGATGGGATACTAAAAGATCAAAAGGTAATGAGGAATTTTTAACAATGTACCTGTTTCTGTTCTTCAACTAGTCTTTTTTCTATACATTCTTTGGCAGTTCTCAATGCCTCTTTTAACTTTGTGGGGATCTGAAAGAAGAGAAAATACATTTTATATTATATTCTTTATCATAATTAAAATTTTAAATATAAACTTACAAGAATGTGTACATATGTATATTTTGTGACTTCAGAGAAGTTTTCACTGTGAAAGATTTATTTTTCTCTCATTCATAAGATTAAGACTTATTCTGCTGGAAGATATTCTTAACAATAGCCTGGTATTCTTCTTAGCCTGTCATTTATGAATTTAAGTTTTTCAAATTATGAGGAGTCCAGACCTAAAAAACAGATATCCAGATCACAACTTTTTCTCTTTATATTTTAAAAATCTAAATTAAAAACAATTTTGAGTAGGCAATAGAGTTACAGAGTTCAAAATTCAAGTTATTAATAATATATACATAGTAAAAAAAATCTTGGGGGGTGGGGAGGGAAGTGCACAGGATTATGGTGATAGCACACGGGTGACTTAGTGATGGGAAACCCACGGGGATTACAATTGAAATGGGGGGAAAATGTACAAAATGATATAAAAATAAACTGTTATAAACAAACAAACAAAAGTAAGAATCTGGGGGCAGAGGAGGGACGAACACAGAGAATGTAGTGATGGTTCACGGGTGATATGATGACGAGAGAAATATAGGGATGACAGTGATGTAGGAAACTTGTTTTAATTATTAATAAAAAAGAAAATGTAAAAAAATCTCCCACCTAGTTACCTCTATGGAGGTCATGACTTTCTTATGTCTTTCCAGAAACAAAATACATATACATGAAATGGGTGTTTTTAAACATTTTTTTTTTAAAAAATAATATTGTCTTTGCTGTATAGACTCTCTGGTCTAGGAGAATATGGTCTGACAATAATCCCAAGGCCGGACTGGTGGGTTGAGAGAGAGTATATTTATTTATAAGGCTGAAGACACTTCTTGGGGAATTTCAGTGAAGAAGAGAAGAATTTAAATGTCTTTCTTTCCTACTTTGGTTCCAAAGAAACCACTATTGTCAGAACTGCTCTAAAAGGTAAACTGCAACAGAGGAAAGCATCTCTCTCTTTCAGCTATACAATCTTCTAACTCCACCTCTGGTTTTGGTTTTGTTTTTTTCCTAAATTTAATTTTATCATAATAGTATTACATGCTTTTCTGGAGTACAAAGAAGAGAGAGAGAGAGAGAGTTGTCCTTCATTTAACTACCTACAATTACAACAACAGTGAGCACTGATGAGAGCCAGACCCAAAGAGGCAATTACAAACGTTATCTCAGTTGTCCAATGACAAAAGACAGGTATTTCTCAATGATTCCAAACACTGAGTAAACAAAGACTCAAGGATTAGGTACTTGCCCAAAGATCCATGACTCTAAATGTGGGTGATTTTACACTCCTTAGCACCTAGGGGACATTTGGCAACATGTGGAGACATTTTTGATGGTCAAAGTCAGTGGATAGAGGGGGAATATGACTGAAAATGGACTACCAAATGATCCAGTGATTCCACTCCTGGGAATCTAACCAAAGAACACAAAAACACGAATTCAAAGAGAAATCTGCACTGCTATGTTTATTGCAACACTATTTACAATAGTTAAGAAATGGAAACAACCTAAATGCACAAAACACAGATGACTAGATCAAGATGTGGTATATATACACAATGGAATATTACTCTGCAATCAAAAAAGATAAACTCTTACCATTTGTGGCAACATGAATGGAGCTGGAAGGGATTGTGCTCAGTGAAATAAGTCAGAAGGAAAATGAAAAATATCAAATGGTCTCACGTAGAGGAAGAGTATAGGGAAACCGAACAAAAAATCAAGAAAAAGACAAAATTTGCAAGCTGACTATAGATTTGAGGCATACAACATGGGAGGGGAAGGAAGAGGAGTCAAAACAGCAGCAGGAAGAACACAAAAGGCCATGGTGATGGTCACGGGTGCCTCAGTGGTGTGAGAATTATAGTGACTAGACATGTGGGGAAAAATTAAATATTATACAAAATGATCAACTACAATAAGAAAACTAAAAAAAGAAATTTAAAAAAGAGACACACACACACATAAAAACACATGATGGAATATTATTAGCCATAAAAAGAACTAGCCATGTGACCAACATGATATGGATGGACCTCAAGGGCACTATGTTAAGTGAAATAAGTCAGATGGAGAAAGACAAATACCATATGATCTCATTTATATGTGCAATCTATAAGAAAAAATAAACAAAAACAAAACTGAGCTTATAGATACAGTGAACAGATTGGTGGTTGCCCAGGGAGGGGAATAGGAAGTGGGAGGCAGGAGGTGAGTGAAGACAGTCAAAGGTACAAGCTTCCAGTTCTAAAAGTCTAGGTAACGTAATATTCAGCATGGTAGCTAGAGTTAGTAATATTGCATTTATATTGAAATTTGCTGAGAATAAATCTTAAAAGTTCTCATCAAAATCTATAATTTTGTGGTGATGGATATTAACTAGATTTATTATGGTAAATATTTCATAACATATTCAAAATCTAATGTTTATGATGTACAGCTGAAATTAACATTATATGTCAATTACATCTCATTAAAAAAGAAAAAAAGATCCTAACTTTCAAAATCAACTTATTTATGTCACAAACCAGGAAATTATATCGTTTGCTTTACCTTAAATTGTGGCTTTTCAGAAGTGGTTAGTAAAACATCACTGAACAGTCTGTAAAAAAAAAATCTTTCTTAAACCAGGTATTCTCTCAGAACAGGATCAAAGCATGAGACATCTGTAGGCCATAGTTCCCACCACATCTCCCAGCCCTCGACCAATCCATTACTTCAGTTTATCAACAGACTCATGGGTGTTTTCAGGCCACTAATGTGATCTGGGGAAAATCTCGCCCCTCCCACTATCGTAGAGGGGAAACAGGGGGATCAGGTTAGTGCTGTGCTGGTTATTTCCCTACCATGGGGCAACATTCTTCTTATGCAATATTGTAAATTAATGAACACTTTGAGAACATTTATTTTGCAAATCATATTATTAGTATTATTTCTATTCTACTCATTATATTCTAAAATAATATGCAGCAGATATTTCCAAACAGAATAGTTGATTTTTTTTTGCCTAGTAGAAAGATAAAATTCATTCAAAATTCAATAATAAAAATGTACAATATGAAAGGAATTGTCCTGATTGGAATCTAATGGGAAAAAAAATTTTTTAAAGAAAAGTGTTTCTTGTACTCTCATAAAAAAACACAAAACAGCAGCTTTTAAAGTATATCAATTCTTTCTTCAAAAATATCTTATTAAAAGCATGTAGAATTCTGAGCTACTTTGGCTAAAACTGGTCAGAGAATTTAGATGGCTGTTTTGCACAGCCCATATGGCCACAGGTGGGTCTTTGCTTAAAGAGCCCCCTCTTTAAAGCATAGGAACTGCATCACAAGTAGAAATAACAGCACTAATTTCTCCCTGCAGTGCTCCTTGAGCAGCTCCTTGAGAGAGAAAAACCCCCTTCAAGGTCAGGGGTCCCTTAACTTCCAGACAAGATACTACAACTGAACATAGTCATACCTCTCCAAGCACTCTTCAACCTTTTCAAGGCCGGAGGTCCAAGGGTAAAAACATTTAAGTAAATAAAAATTATTTGGACTCATTTGAGAACTGGAAGGCTGGGAGAGGATGCAAAAGGCCTGCAGGGACTGGAGGGTAGAAATGCAAACCCAAGTGACTCATGTGATTGTTCCTTATCCACCAATATATTTTCTTCTCAACATTTTTTGAAAATGCGTTTGTTCCCTGACTGGGCCTATTCTCCCATTTCATATGGTCATGTGCAGTAACTGGTTGCAGAGGGACATGCTAATGTCATCTGAACAGTAGAATGTCACATCCACAGGCCCAAGGCTAGGGCTACTCTCTTTGTTTATCTTGGATCCTCAAGGTCTAGTACAGCGCCGGGTCTACAGCAGACCCTCTCTACACACAAGACACTCGAAACGCTACCTCCCTTGTCTCCCCATAGTGCTCTCAAGGGAGTCTGGCAACTCCCTTGTTTCCCCATAGTGCTCTTTTCTGACACCTCCTGTTATACAACAAACTGGTATACTGCCTGGTGCATGATGCTCACAGAATAGAAGCGGAATCAATATTAATCATAACTAATAGTTAATAAGCAATCATTTAATGTCTGGTACTGTATTAGGATCATCTCATTGAATCCTCCCTTTGGAGAAGGGGTGATATAATTTCCTCAATTTACAGTTGCAGAAACTCAGCTTCAACAGGTAGGAAACGTATCCGTGGTCACCCAGCCAGGTAAAAATGGCGATGTTGGAGCCATCTCAGATATGTCTAACCTCAGATGCATTCTTCTTAACCACTCCATTGCTTTTCAATAAAAGAATAGAAAATATATTTAAAAGAAGGTTCCTAAGCACTATGCCATGGCCTCCATAATCTATTCCTAACCCTGTTTAAAAGAGAAAATCTCTAGCTCTAAGCCCCCCAGCACAGAGCCTGGTAATGTTATGTAGTTAATGCATGTTGCCTGATGAGTAAATGAACAAACAAGTGCAAGGGAGACCAGCACACAGCACCCTCCTCTGGGAGGGCAGACCTTGTGACTGCGCCACAGCTGGGAGCCAACTGGTGCAATGAAACGGGGTCCTAAGGGCTGCCCCACGAACACACACTCAAGCTAATGTCGCCAGGGAAAGGCATGTGAAGATGACGCTGATGTTAAAGGACAGCAGCCAGACTAAGGTGGCACAGCGATCAGAGGGACAGGCTAGGAGATCATGCAGCAACGGGCTGTCAACACGCAGATACTTTGGCTCTGCAAGGACCACAGTGAGTCTTCATTACAGCACCAGGCACTTGGGTCCAGCGCTCAAAACAATTAGGAAATGACAACCAGGACATGGGCTTGACTTACGGCATCTGTAAGAGGCGGGAGACGGTAGGCATGCCATTTTTACAGGCTTCACAAGACAGCGTAGACTCCAACACGGCCACTTGAAATGAACAGATACACATTTTAGTTCCACAGAACACGCTGGCAAATCCATTTGGTGACGAAAAGTTTGACACTGCTTTGCCACCACTGTCTGCGGGCTGATAGGGACAGTGTCAAAACTGTTCACACACAGACAGATGGTGTACGTGTGATGGGTGAATGCTGGCAACACTGACGTTACCGACGACTCAGAATAAGTGGTTCTGAAACCGCATGCCCACAGAAAGCTAAATATATTTCAAAAATAATTGGAGGGAGGATTTAAGATATCATTCATAAAAGTGCCTGCTTTCTTAAAAAAGAAGTAAACACTACACACAAAATTCTGAACATGAAAGACATTTTGCTGCTCGCCTGCTTTTAAGCAAAACCAACACATTGAAAGGCAACTGCTGATATCTCACCATCCAACACCTTGGATGATAATAACAAAAGCAGTCATGTCTTCTACTCATGGGCCACTGTTCCGTTTCAGCTGTTTCAACGCAATACAAACTAATCTTCGAACCTATTCTCTTAAAGCACCCCATGGTCACACACAACTAACAGTTGACAGAGTGTTAACCTGCATACCTCAAAGGCCCATGGTCCAAGGGCTACCCTGGTCTCTCTGTCCTAGCAATGAGTTTTGAGCTGGCTATGGAAGCAATGAAATGGTCCCTGGGTGAGTCTGCATCTGTTTCTACATCCCTCTCCTGGAGGTCCTTCCCTCCTGTTCCTTGGCTCCTCACAGTCCCTTTAATATGCTGGAAGAGTTCCTGGATCTCACTTGCCAGGCACCTGCATTTCTGTTCTGCCTTTCCTGTCCTGGGCTTGCCAGGCTCCTTCCTTGCAGATCTCACCCCAGTCTCGGTCTGGCTTCCAACCCTAGCCTGGGTCCACATGAGGGGCTTCAAGTTGCCTGGTCCTGATTTCTTCTTCTATACCAGACTCAGTTTAACCATCCTTGCTTTTCAGAATTTTAATATACGTTTGAAAAACTCCCTTGAGGTTTCTGATAGATTGACAAACAGACAAGCCATGTGAATTTCCAGTGAAGTGCACTTAAGTAAATTACTCAGGTCTGGTTTACTTGTTTACATTAGGTAAAAATTCTGGCTGTGGACTGTGGAGCATGGCAACATTCTCTGTGTTGTTTTTTTTTTTCTGGACTCTGGAAAGGGGGTGAGTAGTTCTGCAGGCTTTTCAGGGCCCAGAAGACCCCTCCAAACCCCATACTGACCCACAGCCATAGATGGCGAAGGAGGGAAGGAATCTACAGGCACAGAGTCCGGTGGTCGTCCATAAGTCATTTCATACAGTAAGTGGCCAAAGCAGTGGACATCCACACTTTCCAATGTCTGTGGACGAAAAGAGAGCAACGGCATGTTCACCTTCCACAAAGTTTGGTTTTGTGAATCCCAGTGGCCTTGCTCCAGGCTTCCACTGAGGAACCCACTCTTAATCAGTGAAAGTACTAAAGATCTTAGTACTTCTCTCCATGGTTTTCCAATCAGTGATCCCTCATCCCTCCTTGTTCAATCTACCATTTCAACGTGGACTCTTGGAGATACAGAAATGTGCTATGGGAAAAGTAAGGGCAAGGACAGCTGGCCTACCCCAACCCCACTGGCCCTTTGCTGCTTAGTGCAGATCGCCTGCCTTGCCATGGGGATCAATTATACCTAAAAATGAATCTGCTGTGCATTACTTTCAGAAACTTACATTGATTTTCCTGAACTGTGAGAAATAAGATCGGTAGAAGGAAGGCAGGCCCAATAAGGAATTCTCCAGGTCCAGCAGCCGGCAGGTGTCCCCATCGAGCATCACATTGGAGGCATGAAGATGCCCATAAGGAAACCCCTTGTCATGTAGAAACTTCAGTGCCTATTACAAAAATATGTATAGGTATCATTTTCCCCTCAACTCATTCAGATATAAAACAGGTTAGATTTGCTTTTTAGATCAACATATTTTGAAACGCAAACAGGTCACTTGGGAAAGTCCTAAAGAAAAATGCCACCCCCATTTCTTTATAAAAGGAGGTGATGCTGGATGATTTCCCTTTATTTCCTTTGGAGAAGGAGCCTGTATCTACTTGTGGTTAACAGCTTTGAAACTAGAAGTTTCTACGGTAAACACTTTCTGATCCTAAAAGCCTATTTCTCTTCAAAGCAAAGTTTTGCACCTTCTGCAAAGATGAGTTTATCATGTCAGAGTTTCAGCCAGTTACTCAGGAAAAGGGATTGAGTTGAAACATCTCTAGCCAATCTCTCCTCAGAATATATTTGGCTGTTGGTTAACAGAAACACATGGCAGAAGCAAACTTTTTGGTGGCCATTTAACTAACAGTGACTCACCAGGCAGGAAAGATGCCTGGACACAGAATGAGGGCAGCGTTAGCCTAAAAAGGTGCCAGCACAACCCACCGAGAACTGCAAGAAAATGTTATAGCATTGCTATTTGTTTTGTCTGTAATATCACACTCTCTTAACTTAGGGTGTACAAAATGTATTATTAGTGGTACATGTATACAATAGTTTCACATATGTGACATTAGGGGAGGATCTTTGGGAATTGTTTTCATTGGTAGGGCTGTCCAATCCAAGAAGCTTGGAGGATACTGCTCTAGAAAATGACATGTAGGCTTTTCATCCTAGTTACTCTTCTGCAAGGCAGCCAGATGGTAAAATATATAATAAAGTCAAGAATCTTGCACAAAGATAAAGATTAACCAATGATAACACAAAAATTTGTGATCACACAGTAATGTTCTTAAAAATCAGACACTAAGCGCCAGTAGCTAGGCTTTCGGAATTTTGCAGATCTAAACTACTGCCTTGATTCTCAACAATGAAAGCCTGAAACCTATATAATGTGATAAATGCATTGTAAGTTAATTTAAAAAATTAAATCAATAAAAGGTTAAAATATTACAGCTGCTACACTCTCAAGTATCTGCTTAAAAACTGGCTTAAGTGATCTGATTACTGAACTTAAAACTATTTTGGATACTGCCTGAAAACTTTACCAAAAGAATAATGTAATGCAGGGTGAAATTTCAACACAATGTAAACAAAAATGAATGCCTCTTACCTCTAATATTTGTCGCCCATAGGTTTTTATTTGCTGGAGTTCAAGGCCTTGAATCTTCTTGGGGTTGCAGTACTTCTTTAGGAATGGGTCTTTTGGTTTTGACTTAGGGGAAGGAGAAAGAGCACATAAGAAGTAGAAGAGGGGTCAGCACTCACACTTAGCTTCTGTTGGGGGCGCCTGGCAAGTTCGGCCCAAAGGACTTGGGCTTTCAGACTATATCAGTCTAGAGAGCGGCTATGAAGGGGCTGACCTAGGTTCTGTCCTCTTTTCTAGTTCAGTGAAGATATCTCTATTCTTGGCCTTAGAAGACTCCCAATGTCTTACATCTCCTTAGACATTTGGGAGGAGAAAAATTTCCCCCAAATTTTATTGAGATAGTTCAATACTATTTTGTTATGTAAAAGACAAACTTCAAAACCAAGGTAAGCGAGCAGCTGACAATGGAGGCAAACATGATAACCACTACACTACAGAAACGCCTAGAGCAGCTGACAATGTAATGGACATAATCATTAAATATTCAACCTTCTCTATGTGGGGCAAGGAATACTATTTAAACAAACTGGGCAGATTTTAGTGCTAAAATAAGTAAATAAATTTCAAATAAAGTATACTGAACCAAAAATCCCTGAACCTTAGGGTTTAAGGACCAATAACAGTAGCAAAGGGACTTGTAAACTTCTGCTATGATCTTGAACTTGCACTAGTAGTACCTTGTAGATCAGGTCCTTCAGAGTTCCTTTTTCATTAAACATCCTAATTAGCAATGCTGAGGATTCATTAGCTGTGGCAAAGGTAACCCGATAAATGTAAGGATGCTGCCAAAACAAAAAAGAAATTCACATTTACTTTCATCAGATGCAGAGTCAAGTACCACCTCTCTGGTCTAGTTGAATACAAATGTGGGGATACCCCTGATCACAAGGCCAGCTAGTACCTCATTCCTTTGAAAGAATACCAACTATATTAACAAAAGGAAGTGGAGATAATGGACACAGTAAATTCTACGTGTGTGAAGATATCTGCTTTAATAAACCCAGTCTCCTAATTCCGGCTAACCTATAGTGGGAGAGAAGGAAAGCATGAATTTTGAGAAGATCAGTTTTAGCATTCTGCCTCTGTAAATTGGCAAAGGATACCGTCAAATCTTAGACTAGACAAGTGGGGACTAGGATAAAAGTGTCCTCACTTACAACTTTGCCTAACATTTCACACATTCTTTATTGGCAGGCCAGGGATACACATGGCGGGTAGAAAACAAGCAAAAGTGGCATCTTTTGGGATCTTGGTCCTTGAAACCCAGCAGTTAACATGAATCTCTCTGTCCATTTATAGGGGTGTACAATTGGATGATTCAAAATGGCTGATGCAAATATTTTTTAAATATAATCACAAAAGTTTTACTGAAATATAATTCACATGATTGTAATTCATCTATTTAAAGATTAGAGATCTATTTAAAGATCAATGATTTTCAGTATATTCCTAAAGTTATGCAATGGCCACACAAAACATTCTAAATACTTTTGCCACCCCAAAAAGAACCCCAATGAATAAAATTAAAATCCTTGAGTTCAGACTGACTAAACAAAGAAGAAAGAGTAGAAAGTTCTTTCTTATAGTAGAGTATCAATTAACAAATACAGAAGGAATGATGGTGCTAGAAACTGCATGAATGTTAAAACTAATAAGTTTGGTAAAGAACAGGATATCTGTATAGTCTCAAAACATCTCCCTATCATTAGTTAATTCATTCTAGTAGTTTATCTTAAGAAAATAATTAAGATGGGTATAAATGTTTAGCTAAAATTATCCATTATGATTTTTTATATAATAAGAGCAAAGACACTAGATGTGATCTGAAAGACTAATAGGCTAGTTGATTAAACTGAAGTAGTGAGGGGAAGGGGAAAAGGAGGTAGAATGGGATGCTTGGATGATGAAGAGTAAGTAGGCTGTCAGCAAAGTCCAAATCAGTGTTTTGGGATAAGTGATGGGAAGGCGGGAAACATTTTATTTTTAAAGTGAGAACAGAATTCAGACAACCTATTCTTATCAATTTAATAAAATGATCAAAATATCTATTAAAAAATCAACTAGAATAAATTAAGTACATCTCAGTGCCCAAATTCTAGCTACAGATGCAACAAATTAGAATCTTTTGTCTACTCTCATATAAGGAAATCTTTCTGCAAACAAAAGTATCAAATTCTAATCCTCTCTAGTTACAGAGCTCTGGACAACTGCCCCTTACAAGGAGTAGGAGCAGTGTGCCTGCAACACATGTAAAACGCAGACTTTCCCTCCTGTTACATATTCAGTAATGTGACCACTTAGGATGATTTGAGAGATCACTGTAATTCCTCTCATGCTAAAACTTTACCAAGAGTTGCTCACCAGTTCAGAAAATGATGTAGTGGTAGGTAGTAACATATATTGCATCAGAAAGTCAATGTAATAACAATAATAATAAACTGAGGCATAGCCAATTATTTTATGTAGCCAGTATAATGATGTTATACTATATTTATCAAAAGCAAAAGGTGCTCCTGGTGTAGCATTAATGAAAACATCAGGGTTCTTTTTTTTTTTTAAAGGTTTATTTATTTATGTATACAAGAACTGGGGTACAGGCCAGAGGTGCCAGGGGTGAGAGGATTCACCAGAGAGAGTGGGAAGCAGAACCAGCAGACTGACTGAAACCACTTCAGCAGGGAACAGAGGACCAGAAAGGAGAGGCCGGCTGTGCTATGAGGGTCAGCTCCCAGGACTGGGCTCAAACTCCTGCTGCAGTGTCTAGGGATAGCTTCATAGTTTTATCCCCTTCATGAGTTTTATCCCCTTGCACTACCAGGGAGGGACTAAAATATCAGTTTTTAAAACAATTTTTTAAAAATAATCATATAAAATTTTAGAAAAGCAACTAAACATTTTGGTTTATACTTCTGATTGACTGAGATTAAGCATGATTTTTTTTCTTATTTTTTGCTTATCTATGTTTTCTGGCTTTGATGTAATTAATATGCACTACTTTCTGTTCCACTTTTTAGAAAGCACATCCATTAAAAGAAATTTAGAAAGACCACAGCATTTTTTCTTTCACCTTCTATCACACCTCATTGAAAGCTTGGTTTTGCTAGCTTGACAAAACACTATCTGAAAAAAAAACTTGCCAACCCAACTAGTTGAATGACTCATTCTGGGGTCCTACACCATTCTTCAGACCACATATAAATGAACATCAACACTAACTCAATTTTCTGGCCAGATTAGTCTTCTGGAGAAATTCTACATATATTTTGAAATATACTGATGTCATTCTTTCCACGAAAGACATCTGGTTAGGACTGTGCATTTGCACAAATAATGTCAGGTATTCTTCAAGGCTCACTCCAGCTAGTTAGCCTGGGAGAGTTATGTAATTCAAACAGCAAAAGGACTATTTTGCCTTTTCCTCATCTAGCTTATCTAAATCCATACTATTTCTGTTTTCTCAGGCTAGAAACAGATCTTTCAACTCCACTCTCACCAAGAACTAGAGGCTCAGAGAATAGACTGCTTTCCCACTGATTTGCTTCAAACACAAAGGCTACATTTAAATGACTCCAATTCATGGGGTGTGGAAATGTCTCGAATGCCATTGAAATGGCTTCTAATTTATGGGAAGCTGACCTGCATAATTTCAGTCTAAACCGAAATCCTAGGTACTGCTCCATTCTCTTAAGCCTGTAGAGTATTTCCAATTCTTCTGTCCACAGTCACCCATAAGAAAACAGTGTAAACTGATCTGCACCAAGAATAACAGAAGAACTTGTACTCACCAAACAGGAAGGCAGAAGTTTGATTAGACACTGAAAATCTCTATCTGATAGATACTTGTCAGGGCCGAGGTCAGCCTGAAAACATGTGAGGAAATATTAGAGTGTTTGTTGTCTTGGTCATTAAAAGATTTCTTTATAAGGCTTTCCTTTTTTCAAAGATTTGTCCAAAAATATGACTGTCAACCAATGATGAAAACCACACTAAGTTTTCTGCTGCCAAGCTTTTCTAGAAAGGTGTATATAAACATCAGGACTGTAATAGCAAGACTATACCACCACCTAATTCCATTAACCAAATGTATTATTGAACCTCCCAAAGTGAGAGACAAAATAAAGCAAAACCCAACTAGTTTCATTAAAACAAACTGCAATACTGCCAGCCCTAAAGAGGTTTCAGTAGATTATTTCAAGCTGTTCCTATTTCTTTCCAAATGTTTACCAGTTGAGTAAATATAATCACATAGCTATGACTAAATGTATAAGCAACGTGACTTAAAATGACTCTCCTTTAAAGAGGAGGCCTTTACAACATCAGTCAAGAATAAATACAGTTTCATAATTCTCTTGTCAATATCTACTTTTAAAAACCCATCTAAAGTTCCTGAAATGAGACGGAAGCAAAAAGAACAGCAGCAAAAATAAAACTAGCTTACCCAGCTTAACACTAGCCGTTCCTTTGGCTGATTTTTAATCTTCATCAAGAAATATTTCTTTCTTATCCTCCAACCTACCATAAAAGCACAGATGTGTTTATGGCTACATAATTTTTACACCAATCGATATAAGTTTCATTAACTAAGTAGTTAATGGAAATTAAGTTTGGCAACATTACCCATAGTTACATAGGCACCAGTAAAACAACCATTTGGTAATGTTGACATGATTAAAGCTGGACTAAAAAAAAAAATCTAGGACTGCATCCTCAAGAAGTAGGGAGGCAAAAGGAAAAAATCACCTGCATTTAAGAGCTTTCTTGGGATAACTATAAGAAAGCATGACAAAGAATCCAGTTCTGTGATCCATCTTTTTTAACAGAATGGGTATGCCAATGGCTCACCTATGTCTTTCAATGGTTCTACCACCTCCCACTTTGGCTCTGACCGGAAGAACATGGAAACCTGTTGCAAGGCAATCTCTGCAAAGACATTTTAGAAACTCATTAGTCAAACGTATCAGGAAAGCACCACGCTTAAGACTATAAAGGATGACCTTCTTAAAAAAGGTAAGTGTCAAAATAAATAAGAACACAGACTAAATATAATGTGGGATTCTACACTGTATCCTGGCATAAGAAAAAGGGCATTAGAGGAAAAGCTAGTAAAGCCTAAATAAACTCTCTAATTAATAGTAATGTGCCAATGTTAGTTTCTTAGTTTTGATAACTGTGCCAGAGTTATATAAGATGTTAACAGGAGAAACTGGGTGCCGGGTATATGGAAACTGTATTATCATCACCTTTTTACTATACACTTTCCTAAAATTATTTCAAATTGATGTATTCTATTTATTAAAGAAAAATAATAATTATTAATGATGTGTACATATATGTGTCTATATGTACAACATATGCTCATACATTTTTTAATGGTAGAACTAATATATGTAAAACTAGCTGGTATAAGCCAAGAATTCAATATATGCACCAAAACACAACCCAAACACAAAACTCAAATCATGTTCGAAGGTCAGCTGGAACAGCATTTAATGCTGCTCTCAGCGATATTTATCCCATCCTCATTCCTCATGAAATTATAGCTTTCACAAACAAAGAAGTGATTAGCCTTAAATATATTTGGAAATAAAAGCAAGTGTTTTAGACAAGCATCTAAAGCATCTATGTACAGCTACAACACAGTTCTATTGTGTGAAGTCAGTAAGAAGAGGAAGTTCTTTCAAGTTCACAGTATTAAGAAATTATCAGAATAACTGTGCTTTTACATTTCCTGCAAAATGCAACATCTGTAACTTGCTATTTCCCCTCAATTCAGTGAGCAAACGCGGCACTTCAGAGCCCTGACTGCAAACAGCAGTCCTGCAAATTCAGTGGAATTTCACCTCGGTCTGGCATTAATTACATTCCAAGCACAACAGAAAGGCATAAAATTTGGCAGAAATGCCCTCCATATGTCAGGATGACCTAGGCTGGAATGATCATGCTAAACAATTGGCAAACAATGTCATTTTGATATATTTTACAGTTAATTATGAAATAAGATTCAGAGAAGAAAATAATCTACTAGCTCTTTGTTTCACTGAATGTCAATCCACACAGAAGAAAATCTGAGATGATCAAATACAAAACTGGCCCTTTTATATTTGTTCTCACTCCCCTAAAGTGACAAACTGTTGGGAGGGGCTGGGTGTGGCAAAAACACATCAATTTTCATTGTCAACACTGGGAACTCTGTACTTCTTCTGCAACTGACATAACAGGCTTTTAGTTTTCCCAAATAACTTGAGCACAAACAATCCTAAATTAACATAAACATAAAAAAGCTTGAAAGAAATTATTGTAAGTGAAAATCATTCAAATCAATTATGAGGGGAATCGTGAAAAATAATTTTCTAGACATGGTATGATGTCATTCTAAAAGACTATAAAAGACAGTTAGTTCAAGACTAGCAGTGACTCATAATTCCCCACAAAATCATTATTCAAGTTTATTATGTGCTATTATGTCCCACATCTTGTTTTAGCAAGGGGGGAAAACAGCAGTGAACAAATGGAACATGCTAGTTTGTTACTGATAAATTGAAGATGGGAAATAACCTTTTTATAATCCTGAGAGGTCAGAGAATTATAAGAAGGACATTATATTTTTACTGAACCATGATTTATCATCAAGTAAATTGCATGACTACCATGCCCAATGTTAATCCCTGCCTCTCAGACTCAGGCAACACACTTTAATCCTCTGTATCTACTCTTTCTTGGAGCCTGTGTCCTTAACAAATCAAGACCAAGTTTCCAAACCTAGTGTTCCACCTAGCTCTGGCTTTAGCCTAGTTTTCTAGCTTCATCTCCTCCATAAGTGGTGCTTCCTACTGTCTTCGTTCTGAAATTTGTCTTCCACCAGCCCCTGGCCCCCAGCAATCTCCTTCTCCTATCCATTTATCCTTCAAGGCTCCATCAAATGCACTGCTCCCTTGTTCAGGATTCCATCAGTTGCATTCTCCCAGTGCTCTACCTGTCCCCGCCCACACTCTCTCCCCCATTAGAGTTATTCTTTTCTACTAGACTGTAAACTCTGGCTGGAAGGATACATCTTAATCTCAGTAGATCACAGTCATATGGAAATACTTCTCTCTGTGTAGCACTGGACCCTGCCCCTCAGCCTGGCTAACTGCCACTTAGCTCAATGTGCAGGTGTCACCTCTTCTGAGGAGTCTACAATCACCTCTCCCCATCATAAGATGCTGTCCATTGTTTACCCAGCTGTCTTCACTGCTGGTCTCTCTGAAGAAGTGCCTTGAGGAGAGAGTAGGAGGGCTTCCTCTCCTGGTTGCTGTTTTCATAACACCTGGCACATAGTAGGAACTCAAGTACTTGATGAAGCAAGAACTAAAGGTCAGTGCATGTTCCATGGATATAGACGGTCTCTCCCATTAAAACATAAGTTCATGAAAAGGAAGATATCTATCCTCTATTTTCCTGGTATTGATTGACACTTAGGAGGAAACTCCAAGCTCTGCACGTGCTGATAAACAACTCCACACATGAAATGCAGAGCAAAACCGTCAGGTCCATTCAGTGCTTCCCCCAGAGCTCCAACTTTTCAGCTCATGCTATACCAACTGTCCCTACTGTGTACAGCCCAGCCCCATAACATGCCTACAGGGAACAAACACTGACCCTCCAGCCCTACAACCAGAAGCCAGATCCCCAGTCTATATAACAGGGAGTGACAAAGAAGAATGCACATACACAGAACATTCTGTTCTTGTTCTGAGTAAATGCCCCACCACCTTGGAACAGAATTGAGAACCCAGAAATAAGCCCACACAAATATGGCAGTTAACCTCTGACAAAGGAATCATGACTATACACTGGATCAAAGAAAGCCGTTCCCCAACAAATGGTGTTGGGGGACCAGCCACATGCAACAAAATGGAACTAGGTCATTATTTAAGTCCGTATACAAAACTTCATTCAACGTGAACTAAATACTGGAATATAAGACCTGAAACCATAAAATACATAAAAGGAAACGGGATACACTCCTGAAGATCAACAACAGAGACATACTTGGGGACACATCTCTAAATGCAAGAAGCAAACAATAAGAAAAACAAACAAGTGGGGCTACACCAAACTTAAAAACTTTTGTACCTCAAAATGAAAAGGCAATTTAGGGACTGGGAGGAGAGAGCTGTACATCCCATCTCTGAGAAAGGGATAATTTCCAAGACATATAAAGAATTCAAACAATGTAACGACAAGGAAAACAAGCAATCCACTAAAATAAAAAAAGAAAGAAAGAAAGGGCAGAAGACTGAAATAAATACATCTCCAAAGTAATTCAGGTGGGACATGATAAAATGCTCAACACCACTTATTATAAGGGAAATATAAATCTAAATCACATGGAAATCACCTCACCTCTATAAGAGTGACCCTATATTAAAAAGACTGGAAACAACAAATGCTGGTAAAGATGTAGAGTAAAAGGAACATTCATCCACTGTGGGTGGGAATGCAATTTGGTACAGCCCTATGGAAAATGGTATGGAGATTCCTAAAAAAAAAAGTGGAAATACCATCTGATCCAGCAATACCTCTGCTAGGTATTTACCCAAAATTCATGAAAACACTAATATGGAAAGAAAGATTTATGTACTTTGATGTTCACAGCAGCATTATTCACAATAGGCATGACATGGAACCAACCCAAATGCCCATCAAAAGATAACTGGATAAAAAAACTGTGGAAAATACAGTTAATGGACTACTACTCGGTCACTAAAAATGAAGATGAAGTAGTATTCTTCTGGTGCAAAAAGGGTGGATCGTGAGGTGAGTATGCTAAGTGAAATAAGTCAGAAAATGAAAGACAGTCACTGAGTGGTCTCACTCAGTTGTGGAGTATAAATAGCAAAGGAAGAAACCAGCCAAACAAGAATACTTCTAAGACTGAACAATATCCTGAGAGAATGGGGGTAAGAAGTGGAGCCAGGGGAGAGAAGACAGCAGGGTTGTGGCACTTGGCTTTGGTGAAAGTTAAGTGAGGTTGCGCTCACAGATGGAGGTGTGAAGTTGTACTCGCCAAATTAATAGTTATGTAAACTACTGGAAACCAATAAAACTTAAGAAAAATAAAAAACCTTTTAAAAGGTCCCTTACCCCCATCCCTTCTTTGTCCTTTCCTCCCTCCTTTTACCCTGGAGTCTACTACTATTGACCTACCCATAGGATTCCTGGGGCTTCAGCACTAAATGGTAACTTCACACTCCTGGTCTACTCTCTATTCACCCGGCTTTTGTTCAACAGGCCAGGACCCTGAAGCCCACAGAAGGAAATGCTGCTCGTAACAAAATGGCACCAGGATCCAACCTACTGATTCCTGCTCCAAATGATTCTGCAGTGATATTTAAAAGCCCCTTCCAAAAAACAAAGCCCCTTCTTCTCAGGGGGGTTGAGGTTTGAACTGGGAAGATAGCCACAGTCCCAGGAGGTTTTTCATTAATAGAAGTAACTTGTGCTGCTTTATTTATAATTGGAAAGATATGGAAACAGCCCAAATGCCCAAAAGTGGATGACTGGGTTAAAAAGATGTGGTACATAACAAAAGTAACTTGTAAACAAATGATATGTGTTTGTATCTGTATTTCCCAACACAAGCCATCACGATGGAAGGTAGCTGTTCTCCCTATACAGTTGCTGTCCTCCAATTAGACTTCTCACTCAAACAGAACTCACAACTCCCCCACAGAGGACCAAGGGCCGACATTTTCTTGCTGTGGAATTTATCATCTAGAGAACACTAGAAAGGAAGGACCAAAGTGATAGTCTGGGGGCTAGGAAGAAGAGGAGGCAGCTATTGTCTGGAGCTATTATTTTTGGTGTCCTGTCCTCTAGGGACCAGGCCGATGTCACGGTTGTCTCCCATCACAGCACCTCAACCTCAGTCACAGAATCATGCAGAACTGCCATTGTGATTGTGGCCACACATAGAACTCAAATCATGCTGGAGTGAGGCTGGGCAGTGATCACAGATCATTTTGAAAATCGTAAGAGATAAGAGACATTGCCCACATTAAAAAGGAGAACGAGGCCCTCCCTGGTGATGCAATGGGTTAGGATGCAGCACTGCAAGCTAGCCACAGACACTTCAGTGAGAGTTTGAGTTTGATCCCCAACCCCAGAACTGATCCATGTGGTATAGCAGACCTCTCCTGGCCTGCCTGCTGCTCCCCTCAGCAGTGTACTTCGTCAATCTGCCTGTTCTGCACCTCACTCTGTCTCTGGTGAATCCTCTCACCCCCTGCACCTATGGCCTGTACCCCAGTTCTATATGCATAAGTAAACCTCAAAAAAAAGGGGGGGTGTTTGTGGGGGGAAGTAGCCTTGCTTGGAGAAGTGCCAGAAGTTGGAGGTACACAAAGGGCACTTGGGAAGCATGAGCCATGCTGTAAATTTCAGGAAGTCGGACCATGTCTGTCTGGTTTTCCGGGGAATGTCTCAGCAAGCTGGTATGGAAGAGGAGACCTGGGCTTCCTCTTCCTGAGGCTGCTGGTGAGTCAGTCTAGGAGTAAGACAAATTCTGATGTTTCATTCAAAGGGGGAAATAAATTAGCATCTCTCGAAAAAGCACCCACCCCCTATTGATTCATCCTCTAGAGAGTGGCCAGCCTCTTCAACAACTGGGTTCTAGTGGGAGTCACTGCTGGCCTTCTTACCCCCTCCCTATTCTGCTTTGGACACCTGACTCTCTGCCATGCCGGGAAAGAGGGGCAAGAACAACAGCAGCACATAAGGGAGGTCATTATAGCAGAGATCAGACAGAGCCTTCTAGGGGTCAGGCACCATTTTAATTGGAAACCACTCAGATAATGACACACATGTGCAACTCTGAGGGCTGGGGCTCTCATCTTTAAAAATGAAAGTAAGTGGGCCCTCCCTGGTGGCGCAGCAGGTTAAAGCACAGCACTGAGAAGCTTAAGCCACTTCCGCATGAGTTCGATTCCCGCCTGCCCTGGAGGAGACCACATGGCGAGGCAGACCGCTCCTGGCCCGCCCGCTGCTCCCCTCAGCAGTGTACTTCGTCATTCTGCCTGTTCTGCTCCCCACTCTGTTCCTGATGAATTCTGTCATCCTCCGCATCTCTGGCCTGTACCCCAGTTCTATATGAATAAATAAATAAATATTTTTTAAAAAAAATGAAAGTAAGTGTTGATATGCCTCCTCCAAGATTCATTTAGCTCTGACCCAAAGTGACTCAACGCACCTCCAGGATAAGCTCCTTGAGACCAGGGAGTGAAATCTTCCTCACACTGCATCCCCAACACCCTCCACCCAGCACTAGTACAGGTGTGTGGGAACTAAGGTGTGTGTATAAATGGCATTCTTAGATGTGCACACCTGGATATTTGTCATCTGGACAAGTGAAATGAGGCTGATTTGGTAACAGAGAACCCTGACGACTCAAGACGTGACAATCTTGAGAACAATTAAGGTGAAACATGGTGAAATGAAAGCTATGAGAAATGCTACTCAGAACGGAAGCAAGTTGACCTGGAAGCCCCAGCCCTTCCAGGCAAGGCAAAAAGCAGGTGGAGGAAGAAGCCTCGTAACAATTCAACGTGCTGTTTCATAATTTATAGTCACATGAATGCAGGAAAGTCATTTTTTTTTTAACCCCATGGGCACACTCCCATTAGAAGACGTCAGGTACATTTTAGAGCAAAGCTTCTCAAACTGTAATATGCATGCAGATCACCTGGGGACCTTATTAAAGATACTGGCCACTGGGCTTGAGGTAGAGCCTGAATTCTGCATTTCTGCCAAGCTCCTAGTGATGCCAATGGTGCTGGTCAAAAGGCCACTCTGTAAGAAGCAAGGCCCAAGAGCTGTGGTTTTCAAACTCGGCTGCACACTGGAATCTCTTGGGGGAATCTAACACCTCTGGAGATTGATTTAACTGGTAAGGGGGCAGACTAGGCATCAGAATGTTTTTAAAGCTTCCCTGGTGATACCATTACTCAGAAAAGTTTGGTTCCTGATAAGGAGACTTCCATTTCTCTTTCTCTAAAGTAAGATAAAAGTGCTTCCTTGTAATGAATTAAAAAGCAGTGTCTTGAGGACCCAAAAGATAAGTAATCTAATCTCTTAGCAAGGAAACCAAGTTAATAATACCTAAATTTCCACTTAACAAAGATCCTAAACTGGCGTAGCTTTAACAGTAGTTGAATTCTAGTCATTGATACAGGTCTACAACGGTTTCTCTTGGTCTCGAAGCCTGAACCAGAGTACATTAAATGTTTAAACACTCAGTCTGCTGACACCAGTCTTAGGTTAGCATCCACGCTAGCTTTGTATGGGACGCCTTTCACCCGAGTCCCCTGGCTGCTGCCCTGATCCAGGGTTGGCTTGAAAGCACCTCCTCCTTAGGCTTTGGCCTGAGTGGTTTCCAGGGGAAACTGGAAACATACCGAAAGGATGCTGCCAAATCACTAACTGCATTTAAAGTAATTCCCAGAAAAAGCAAACATAACTATGTTTTGTAATACAATAACGGGCAAATACAAATCAAGCTGAAACTACGGTATAGATTACTGTGGGTTATTTACTTTCTTTTCTGTCAGAGAAAATAATAAAGACAAGCATGTAGGTATGTAGACACAACTTCTCTGTTTCTGGGGAGATACTACAAGCATGACAGAAACAATTATTGTCTTCATCTACACATATCAGTTAAGTATTAATAAATAGATAATACCCATTAGTAAATGACACAGTTCTGTCTTAGAAGTAGACAATATACGTTATCATGGGAAAACACTAGAACCTCTCTAGTCCCAAGACCATCACAGCAAGTCCCTTTGCTTACCAGTGTAGTTTGCGGAATAGTTGTTTGGATCTAAAAACTTCTTAACCAGCTCACAATTAGATAAGATATGGTTTGTCGTGATAACGTTGAGATAGTTCTGAAGACCTTTCTGCCTCTCAGCTATGAATTCACGATCCATGTTACCAATCAGCTTCTTGGGAGGAAGAGGTAGACTTAAGCCTGCAATCTTGAATTAAAAACAGAAGAAAAAAAAAGATAGTTTAATCATGCCATTTTCAAATAAGGCAAATCAGAATCCTGAATCATCAATTTCACTCAATTGAACATGGATTTTAAGATGCATCCTAATTTCAGTGATATTATAAAAATGTGACAAAACTATGCACTTAGAATTGACATATACTGTATTAAACATAACAAGTTTAAAACTTAAATTTTAACATGCTATACACAAATACAATTTTGAGAGTCAAACAGTTCATTATTATTATTGTTGTTGTTGTTATTACTATTATTTGCAATCCCATGACATGCCTCTAATTACTACCCTTGTCTAGTCCTATCAAGCCAAAGATCCATTCCCCATGCCTAGAGACAGCTACATTCAATATTTTGGGATCTAATCTATGGCAATGGTGATTATTCATATATTGTTACAACTTGATTTTTCACTTGGGGCATTATGTATAAATCTCTTAATATGGAAAATGAAGATTAAATTCTCTTTCACAACCCTGACTTCATCCCGTCTGTAATCCTTCCAATATAGTTAAATGACATTATATTAAGTAAATGATATTCATAACAAGACAAAGATCCAGGCTTAATTTTCCATTAACTGGTAGTCTATATATTTTTGGTTTTCTATTCAAACTCTTCATATAAACCTCTCAACACACTCAGGTAGATATATCACTTTGATCGTTTTCTGGAGTATCTTCCAGAACCACCAAACTTCTCCAAGCTCCACCTGCAATAAAGCTAGCATCCTGGAACCTCCCTTCACCATCACACCAGGGATGCATTTACCTTTCTCCCACTGAACCCCATTTTTATCCATATCATCCTTTTTCCTAAAAAGGAGGGGGGATATCTTTATTCTACCTCACATTTGATTGGCAACATGTATTGATATGAAAGTCTAAGTTGGAAATATTTTTTTCTTTAGAAGTTTTAAGACCTACTTTATTATGGTATAGTTTTAGCGCAGCTGTTAAAGGATCAAATAGTACATTCCTGACTGCTTTCTTCTTCCCTGGAGGTTTTTGGGATCATCTGTTTGACCTTAGCTGATGAATTTCATGTGGGTCTATTTTCATCCTCTGTGCTGAGTACTCAACCATTTCAATCTAAAACCTAATATCCATAGGTTATTTGATATTTTCTTGTATTAGGCCATTATTTCTTCTCCTCCATGCCCTTTGTTTTCTTTTTCTGGAGCTCCTATTTCCCAATGTTGGACCTTCTGAACCAGTCTTCTATTTTTATCTTTTTTCTCTTATTTTCTAAATATGTTAAATACTTTCTACTGAAAAAATTTCTCAAGTGATTCTTTTCTCTTTCAATCCTTTAGACAGTTTTCATTTCTACTGTATGGTTTTTATTTCTAAGTCTCTTTTCTTTTGTGTTTCCACAGCATCCCAAATGTAATGCAATTTCTTATCTTTCTGAAATTATAGTTTTTCAAAAGTGCATTTGTTCTGCTTCCTGAAGGCTCATTCTTCTTCTTCCTTTTTTCTGTTTGTTTTGATCTTTATCTTACATGTTAAAAGTGTTCCTTAGAATCTGGTGGTGCTAGGTTGTCTGCTCATATTTAAGAAGGAAGCACCAAAACTCGACTTCAGCTTATCTACAGTGACTGTAGAACTCCTTAACTATTTCATTTGAACAATCTGTGACTTCAATTTCTTTCACTCCTTCCTCTTAGGCCTTAGGCTGGACAGATTCACCAAAAACAAACAAACAAACAAACAAAAAACAACTGTCTCTTATCCGGAGGTCTTGGCCTGACTGCCAGTATTTTGGAAGCAGAGAGGAAAAGGGCTTAGGGAGGACAGGTGGAGTGAGGTGAGACAGAGCTCACATTCACTGTGTAAATATTTTCAGCACTTCCTGCATTCCCCAATCCAAAAAATGGCTTACCCTTTCCCTCTCCACCCTCACCCTCACTCCCCACCCCCTCCCCCACATAAATTACTCAGATTGAGGAGATATGGGAACCTGATTGCCTCTTAAAGGACTTTCAACTTCTGGTTTTATTTTGACCTTGACCCATACTTGTACTGTGCTGTCAATTGCTAAAACATTTGTAGATTCTGTGGTATAAATTAGGGCTGGTGGGATTCTCCACCATACCAGCCCATCTGAGGATTCTGCTTTTCCCTTATCTGCATAATTAGTTAGGTCTCATCCACTAGATTTTCAGCTTTTAATGTTTCCTTGTAATTTTCTCCTTCCCTACTTTATTTGTCCTTGATAGACAGTGTGTGCATGTGTTTTTATAAGACCAATTTACTGTTTTTGAGAGTGCCTTCCGGAATAAGGGAAAGCAAATACAGGTGGTCAGCCTACTATCATTTTCCAGACCATTAAAAACTTTGAGTCCATTTTTTAAAACATAAAAAAAAAACCCACAAAAGGTTAGCATCTTAATTTAAAGAGCAAAATCACATTCAGAGAGCAATGCTACTCTATACTTGTCTTTAGATAGGAATAGTCCAAGAGGCATGTGCATTGATCAAGAGGAAGTTCTAAAGGGAAGGGCATCCTGAATTCAGACAAGGATGTAATCTAAACCACCCATGTGAATAACCTAACTTAATCTGTCCCAGTCTATATTTTTTAAACAATTAACAAAGACCTTGAACTTGAACTTGATGTTAAATAAGATGAAAAGGTGAGCCGACAATTCTCAACTGCATGTTTCTCCAACATGATCATGGAAAATACGTTACAGCATACTTAGAATGAATTTTCTACTATGGTGTAATTCACTGCCAGATAAGACACTTAAATTTCAGTTGTTATCTTTATTTATACAATAAGGTTTTATAAAAGGGTAGTTCCTAGGAAAAGGGGAAGTTCCAGGTTCCCCGCCCCACCCAGAAGAAGGGTGGAGCTGAGGAGAGAAAAAGAGAAAGAAGGAAGCAGGATGGAGAGACAGAAAGAGACCTGAGGAAGCCACATGGAGCAGCAAGCATGTGAGGAAGAAACCATGCTTGTTGCCTGACCCTGGACTGGTTAAGGCAGATGTGGGTGAGATACCTATAGGGAGGTGACTATGGCAGTGTTTATATTGATTTTGATTTTACTCTATTCCTCCCAGACTTGTCTGGCCATGTCTGACCCTTTTCTAGGGGTCCCGGCCATAAGGTACTTTAGTCTTGTGGCAGGCTTTCAGGCCTTGCTTTGGACCAATCCTTTTTGGGTGGACTTTTGCCCACAAGGGGATAGGTAACTTCAGGTGTTTGATTAGAAACTATATTCTTTGTGTTCCATATTGTATGTTCACTGCATTAAAGTCCCCTTTTCATTAAAGTTTTATATGTTTTGTCTTGATGTGGCAGATGGCAAAACCTATTTGGATCAGGCAGGTTTGGGGGTTCAGGGGTGCCCCTCTCTCTCTGCCCTGTAACACTTTCTTACCCTGATTTTAAAAATACTTTAAAAAATACTGCTAAAAGTACTAAAACTATGCAGTGTATTTTATATGTGCATATAAAATACATATATATATATCTTGCTTAAAGAAAAAAATTAGCATTCGACAGCTATTTATTTTTCTTCAGCTTTTGCGTAGAATTTTTTTTTAAATGCTGACCAATCACAAAATATAAAATTTAGAATTCCCATGACCAGATAGGTGGGAAAGAGAATATCAGCATGTAATGATAGAGTCATGAGGCCAGTGATTCCCTGGACACCTCCACACGGATAGCTTTTAGCCATGGCCCCCTCATCATCCCATTTTCAGTAACTTTCCTCTTCAGTGTGCTCTAGGGATTCTCTTCTTGAGTTCCTTGTATAAGGGAAAGAGAACAAGAACTCACTCAAGCAGAGACTTCCCAAAGGTTCCATTTGCAACACCTACAGAATGACAATGCAAAGGAAGGACTGCCAAAGGGGGGTCTGGAGCCCACCACCAACCCCATGTTAATCTAGTAGAAGCCTCTACACTAATTACTTGGCATGCCATAAAGTTTCAAGAAAACTAGCTTTCATTTGAATGGAGGAAAACCTTCAAAGTCTGTATCAGTTTATCTCTAATGTCGGTAATCAGATCTTAATGATCTGCAAATTGCACATAGCCATATTCCAGGGGGTATTCACTCCAGGGAATTCAAATCTCTCCACACTAACTTTCTCCCAAATTCCCCCCAGTGTGTAGTGAAGTCTCTCCTATGTCAACAATGGGAAGTAAAGTTCAAATAACAAAACATTTGTCCTACAACAGAGCTGAAAGCCACCTGGTTCAACCCTTTGTTTCACAAAGAAACAAAGTGAGGACCAAGAGAGGAAATAACTAACTCAAGTTCTCCATGCTGATAAGAGGCTGAGGTGATTCTTTTCCAACTCTGAAGACTCTGCCCAGTTCTCATCACTTCAACACCTACTTCTTTCTTTTTTCTCATTGTATGCTGTCTCCCTAGGTTACTAAATTGATGTTGCCTTTAAAATAAAGGGGAGATTTTTCTTCTCTGTTGCCACAAATATACTCACTATAAAAAGTGGGGAAGTGCAGGTTTTTCCCCTATATTTATGTTTGTTTGTAGAGAACTCAGAAAGTACTGGACAGTTTATAGTATCAGAAACAGAACATAACCTGTACTGCCACTACCTGGGATCACCATTGCTAACATTTTGGCATACTTCCTTTCAGCCTCCCCCCACCCCCAACCATATTATGTAATTATACTATACTGTGTATAATGTTACATCCTACTTTATTTTTTCACTTAGGCATTTTTTGGTTGTTGTTAAGACAATTCTGAATGTGTGTATTATATTTCCCTTCCTTCAGCAGGAACTCATTTATCTGCTAGAAAGGTAATCAGACTCTGAAAATTATGGTCACAGTTTTATTTTGTGGTTTCAGATTTTTTTGGTCTGTTTTGTAGAGGTTGTTTTGGAATTATTTTGTTGCCAAAAAGCTGTATGTACTTTCTTCTGTTTGTTTACTTGAATCCAGAAAAACCTCCCACTGAAATGATGTCTGGCCCTACCCCACTCAACACAAGCCAATATCAATATATGCGGGTATTTGCATTTGAAATAAGATGCACATTGAAAGCACCCATTATAAAATAGTAAATTATACTGAAGCAAAAATAAAATTCTAGTACACTTAAAAGACCATATTTTAATTGTCAGAGATTCAATCATATCTCCAAAGCAAGAACAAATAGATAAAACCTTCCTTTTTAACCCCCATTCTTGGAGGCTGGCAATTTCAATTTTCCCCACAATTCTTACTCAGTCCTGGCTGAACATTTATATAAAGGCCACACCCCCTCTTTAAAAGTGTGCAAAGCCCGGCCCTCCCTGGTGGCGCAGCGGGTTAAAGCACTGCACTGAGAAGCTAAAGCCACTTCCACATGAGTTCGATTCCCGCCTGTCCCGGAGGAGACCACATGGTGCGGCAGACCTCTCCTGACCCGCCCGCTGCTCCCCTCAGCAGTGTACTTCTTTGCTCTGCCTGTTCTGCTCTCCACTCTGTCTCTGGTGAAGCCTCTCACCGCCCCTGAGCCTCTGGCCTGTACCCCAGTTCTCTATGTACAAATAAATAAATCTTTAAAAAAAAAATGTGTGCAAAGCCCACTTGTGGATAAAGGTCAAAGCATATAGTAGGCCAAATGTTAACTCCCAAATGCTCATATCACTTCTGGAAATATCACATGGAAATGTCTGGAGGCACTTATGTAGAAAATCTCCTGGAATAAATGTACAATAGTTTTATATAGTGTCAACAACGGCCGAATTTTTGTCTCAGTGGAAAGAATATAGTATTAAAATCCAAAGTGAAGCCAATTAAATACATCTATGAGGAGAGTCAATCTCTGCCAATATTCTTTCTGGAGATTTAAATTGGTCATACTATAATTAAAATTTTAAAAGACAACATATGTCAAATGCATGACAATATGGCAATTAAATAAAGGTCTGCAGAGATTTGGGCCAATTTGACCAGAAGGCATTCATGATTTCAACAGTGTTGTAAGTAGTGTTAAAGTTTGAATTCCACAAATCTATTTTCCAAAGTCTAGTCAATAAAACATGGCCCTCTGAAGGAAAGGGGGCATCATGCTCCCTGCCAGAGAGTAATCTTGCTGAGCATTACCGACAGGATCAGAGGCTGCTCAGAATAATGACTATGGTCAGTCATAAGCCAAGTGCTCTGACTCAAATTTAAGGGGCTCTACAAAATCAAATCAAAGATACGATATAAGCCCAATGGTCTTCAGTAATCCATAGCACTTGAAGACCAACTTGCCAACTGAAAACATGTGTGTTCTTGCCAGTTCTTTCTATGGTGCTAAAGCCCCTTTGGGATTTTATCAGCAATCATTATCAGCACTGGCTAGGTTCCCAGACAAAGACTTTACAAATCAGACCTCTTTCCATTATGGCCACCACATTAGAAATGTTTAAACCAAATGGATTTAGAAATAAGTATTTAAGAAAAAACATTATACTGACAAAATCCCTAGTTACTGCTGAATATTGACCTGGCATGCTAACTGCAGCCCAGTTTAGTAGAGTCCCAACTCCACCTAAGTGAACAACACTAGCAATGCACTTAATCGTTCCTAATCTGCAAAAACAAAGTAGACAGCAATCCATAATTGTGGTAAGGACACCACCTGTGCAAAGGTACTCACTTGCAAGGTACTACTAATTATATATCACATTAGTTCCCAGAAATTTCTAAAACATTTCAAGCAACGAATGTGTGCCATTGCTGTTTCAAAATATTTACCTGTAAGCTGTTGTTCAGCAAATCAAAGTCACTGTATCTCCTCACAATCTGTAAGAAATAAGACAATGTTTTGATTTAGCAAGATCATCTCTTTTCATCTCATTATTTAATATTTATTGGCATTCTAGAGTGGGGTTGCATCAAGGGTGGTAGGGCCGATAACTGATGCTTATCTTGCCTAACTTGTCAGGCCTCGAAAACAGACCTAGCAGTGTTCCAGTATTGGTTGGGCTGGGGGAACTAGTTTATGCCAACCAAGCTCACCAAATGCCAGCAGGTAAGAGACAATCATGATGTGTTTGCTTTCATGGTAAAGAGTCTTTTAAACAACTTTTTTTTTTTCAAGATTCAATTGATATAAAGCACCATATAGTTTGAACGTGTACAGCACAATGATCTGACTCACATATACTGTGAAATGATTACCACATATGTTGGTTTAAACAAATGTCTCCCTCTTTAATATTCCATAGAAAGAGGAATTAATAATTTACCAAAAAAATAAGTTTTACTGAACACAAAATCAAAGCAAAAGGCTGTGGGTATCTTCCTCCTTATCCTGGTAAAAACTTATCCCAGGTGAGATCCCACCACTCTAGAGACTGAACTATACCCACAGCCAGACTGACCACACCTCTCTGCTTCCCACCTTGGCAGGCACTGGCCTCCCTTGTCTACATTTCCCTTACCGAGTACATTGGTGTCATAGTCTAGGTGGCAGTCAAATGCTACTGGCTCTTCAGACTCTGGACAAGGAAATCATTTAGCTTTGACTTCAATCTTTAGTGATGTTTTGGAAATGTTAGTGTGCAAAAAAAAATTATCAAGAGGTTACCTAGGATCCCACTCACAAAAAATCTAATCCATTGGGTCAAGGGTTAAGGCCCAAAAGTCTATATTTTTTGTTAAGGATCCCTAGGGATTCTAAAGCATTGGATCTAGAAAACTGCAACAAAGGTGGACTTTGCAATAATATGTTATTATTGGCCATTTATCAAATATACATCAAAAAATAAAATATCAAGCTATTCCTGTTAAGTGTGAATTAGTGAAACATAGAGTTAAATGTAGAAAGGATGTGAATTCCAGCCCTGGTCTGTCACTGATTTGAATGTGATCTTGGACCAGTTACTTACTTTTTGAATATAAAGTGGGACGAACATACCACATAGGACTGTTGTTCTGTCTTTGATAAGGGGGGGGGGAATCAAAAAGAAGTTTAATAATAGCATGTGTGCCTCCAGTATATATTGGACACCCCATAATACTATTAATTAAGTTACCTATGAAGGTTCAGACACCAACTTAAATACCTCAGCTAAGACAATGGATGTTGGGGGGGAAAGGAGAAGATTAATTATGGTAGGCTACCAGGGAAGGCACAGTAAACAAAGGAATCACTGATGAACTTAGTTCTAATTTCTCTATTGAAAAGAGCTAATATCAGGCCTTCCCAAACCCTTAGGGAGGCAGAGTTTTCCTTCACTCATGTAAGTGTCTTTTACAAAGTTTCCTCCTCCTAGCTTTCCGCTGCTTCTCCTATGGAAATATATTTTGACTAAAAGGATACACTTTGAGGGTGGCATTTTTGCTCCCCTATATCTGCCCTTTGGGATTTCCCAATAAATTTCATAATTCAGAAACTGAGTTTGAATATTTCATGGAACTAGTCTTTCAGTACTGAGAATAGATCGGTCTGGCCAAACAGCTGTACACATAGAACAGTTCTAAAGGGTTAAATGAATTAGTGTGCTTGAACCAGTGCCTTACACATGTTGAAATAGATGTTAAATATTTAAGTATTTAAACAAAAAGCAGTAAGAAATTTTAGGCAAAGAAATAACCAAGGGTGGATCACTGTGGTCCAAGACAGGTAAGGGTAAGAGGTCAGGTTCAAGCTGGGCTGTGAAGAACAAGGAAAGAGTTTTAGGAGATAGGAGAAGGGGGTACTTATAATTACGAAAACAGGAAAGAAATGGCCCCTATTCACAAGTCAGCAACCCTTGCCATCCCCCAGGGTGAGAAGGACTTAGGTCTATGCAGTTTTGTCTCTCTGCGATCACCAGTGAGCCAAGGAGCGCCTGGAGCAGAAAGATGACCAGCACCTGGAGTCCATGAGGAGGCTCCGTGGAGCACTAGAAGCTGCTCATGGGAACACCTGGGAGTCCATGAATATATGCCCAGGCTGCACACTGTCCAAGACACTGTCTCACCTTTCTAGTCTAACCTCCCCATCCCAACCAGTCTCAGGGGGAAAAGTCTTAATTTGAGCAATAAAATAAGTGATTTGCCTACCTACTTTCACTAAGCTAAAAATATCCTACCTACCTTCATTAAGCTAAAGAACAGATCTGAGATATCTTCATGGTAACAGTACATACAAATTCAACCAAACAACTGGGGACACAAAAACTTTTTATAATACCTGTCTTAAAGCTAAAGATTTATATCTGAGAGAGTTCTGAGTTAGATTTATGCATGTCCTTGTTTTTCCAAAATTTTAGATGCCCCAAGTCAGAATTTTATTTAAATATTTTGAGAGTTTTTCTAATGACAAAAAAAATAATCCTTACCTGCCAGCTGTTTTCTACAGAAATTCCTCTTTGCACTCGAATAATATATTCCTAAAAATAAATAAATAAACAGCTTTAATTATGAAATCCCCAAGTGAGAGAATCAAAAATAAGTGAAAATGTCAGATCAAAGAAAATTATCAGAGACAGAGAGGGCAATTCTGAGGGCTGCTGATAAAAAATGTAATCTGCCAAGAAGATAGCAAACTGAAATGTATGTCCACCAAACGGAAGAGCTCCAAAATACGTGAAGAAACAGCCAAATCCACAGTTATAGCTGAAAACTTCAATCACAATTAAAGACTCTCAGCAATTGATAGAAACAGAAAACCAGAAAGGATATAGAACTTGACAATACCAATTAGCATTGAGAGAATGCTCTATCCAACAACAGCAGAATATTCATTATTCTGAAGAGGAAATGCAAAGAAGTTCAATGTTTCTACTCCTCACAGAAATATAAATTAAGATTATAATAAGGTATCACTACACACCTATGAGGATGGCTAAAATAAAAAATAATGTCATCAAGTCCTGGCTAGGATACAGAGAAATTAAATCACTCATATGTTCCAATGCAAATGGAAATGGTACAACACTCTAGAACAACATTCAGCAGTTTCTTAAAAAAAAAAAAAAGTGCAACTTTTTTTTTCCACCTGCTTATTAGTAATTACATTGCATTAATTTATCTCAGAGAACTGACAGTTTATATTCACATAAAAACTTACACATTAATGTTCTTTAGCAATAATCAACAATAGTTCAAAAAATATCAATAAACCAGATACCCTTCAACAAGTGAATGGTTAAATAACCTGATACCCTACGTCGCATACGTGTCATGGGTAATGGATATATACAGGATCTCTCAAATGCACAGAGCCATGTGAATCTATAATTATCTCAAATGAAATATGTAACCTCAGGAATCCAAAACTAGATGATTGTAATAGCCAAAAGACAAGGATCCATGGTTTTCAATGATCAAAGTTAATGTTTTTAATGAATAGTCAGCTTAGAAAAGGCCACAATTAAGAAAATAGGTGAAAAAGAGGAACAGATACACACTAATGACATTTTCCAAGAAACCAAATCCAGTGATCCCCAAATCTGCAATTGTTAGCCTGGTAACTGAGCTTCAAAATGGATCATGGTGTCACCAGAGAGTGAAGAATGAGCTTAGGTTGCAAGGATGGGCAAGTGAGGGTGTTAAAATCCACATTTGTAGGCTTTGCTCCAGACACTGAGTCAGAATGTCTAGGATAGAAAACCAGGAATTAGAAGTTTTAATAGCCTCTTCACGTAATTCTTACTAATAAGCAGGTGGAAAACAGCCCTAATCCAGCCTTATACCCAGCCTATATGTCTTGTATCCATGTATACAGGGAGTTATGACTAATGCATCGGTTGAATCTTACAATGTTAGCATTTTCTCCTCAAATGGTCAGAATTATTTTAATATATTTGGATGGTATGATTTAGGCAATACTCACAGTCAGTCACTACTCAACAAATTCTACTGAATGAATTCTGCTTTAAATAGGTTATTTATAAAATAAAGTCAGATAAGCATCATTAACCTGGTAATGGAGCTTTAAAATAGATCTTATTACACCATCATATCCATTCTGTTTATTTAGCAAAGGTTGATAAAGACCACATTTGCAAGAACTTCTGCCTCCTCTGAAACATGTTAAGGACAACATCCACTAAATTATAAGTGAATTAGTTATATATCTGGCACCATGCTTAGTTGGTTTCCTATGGGGTTGTAAACATTTCAAAATGAATTTGTATAGCATGGCAAATCTGTTAAGCAATATGCTAATGCAATTATTTCTGAATATATAACATTTCTAAATAGATAATGTGCTAAAAACATCTTGATAGTCTTGTATTTTGGGATCAGTCTTTAGCTTTGAAATATTCTTCTTTTCTCAGGTTTGAATTAATGGTAGAATTGAAATTAGCGTATATAATTGAATCATTGTAAACTATGTATAGACAGGCAACATTTTGGGGGGTGCCTAAAGTTGGGAGAAAATGTTAATTCTCAAAAAGTCACTTCACGCATTTGTTCTTCACTGTGATTTACTGGAAGAATACTTACTAATTTTAAAAAAATCCAATATTAGGCACTTTGGGCAGTAGGTTGGCTGATAAAGGAAACTTGCATTGTTCTGCATTGTGAGTTTAAAACTTGTACCTACATGACTGGCATCTAGTAGACAGGTGAGGTAGGTGCTAAACGCCTATAATGAAGAAGAAAGCCCCCACAACAAAGGACTCTTAGTCCCAAATGTCAGTAGTGCTGAGGCTAGGAAACGCAGGCTCAGGTGAACGGAGTATGGCAGGTCATCCCAGTCCATGGATGGGTGGGATACAGGGTGGTCGCGGAATTATTTCTGCATCATCTGCCTTAGAGGAGCTGACCCCCACGCACACTCAAACACCATCTGTATAACGTGTGCACCTAAAATGGCGGTAGAGGCCGTCATACCACTACTGTTTACTGTGTTTCCTTGTAAAGAGGCACGAAGAGAGGTTCCACTGTAAATGTGAAGTCCCATGTGCCATGTGGCTACAGATAACACAACAAGAAAGGGAAAATATGATAAGGAGGTTTTGCTGAGAAATCTTTTTATTCCACTTCAGTAGTTGGTCCCTAACCATAAACCATTTGAATTTTAAAGAATTTATTTGATATCAACATCCAGCCAGACCAAAAAGAATTTCCAGTGCTATGAACTGAAAAACATAGCACTGCTGTCTGCTGCTTGCAAGCGGGCTGTAGCTATTAAAGCAGAGAGAAGAGTACCCTGGGGACCAGTAGAAAACTGACATTTCAAGTCAGACCGCCACCTCCTGAGCTGGAGTCAGCAACTCAGAAACCTCTAGTGAATCATTCCTATCTTCACCACCCTCTCTGATGTGGAGTAGAACCTCCAGCGAGTATAAAAGAGACAATAAACCACCAAGGCCCATTAAGCATGAAGCGGACCTAAGAGCCCTGAAGCTCTGGGCCATATGCACTATGCCTGCCACCAACTGTCATCTGCTGCCACTTCCCCAAAGGACCTGCTTCCTGCTCCTCCTCCGGACACCACACCCTTTCTCTTGGTGCAGGAGGATGGCTTCTTGGCAAGTCCTTGCGTGTGGGGATTTTAGCAAGTCAGTGTGGTCTGGAGTTGAAGTTCTTCAAATTGGAAAGATCCCAGCACCACATGATTTCTGACTTAAATGAGGGAAGAGAAGAGAATTAATGTCAAATGAGCATCAATATTGTGCCAGAGCTTTGCTAAAGCCCATTCTCAATACTTGTTCATTCCTCGCCAGTTGCCTGGAGCTTAGACGATTCCAGCTCTGCTCAGCAAAATTAAATGAGCTGTCCAAGGTTGCAACGCTAGGAAGCAGCTGACTGGGAACTGCAAGCCCAGTCACGGATTCCTAAGACCCTCCAAGTCTGCCATGTGTATATATATATATATATATATATATATATATATACGTGGTAACCCTCAGTTACCCAGCATTCCCAGAATCCCAGCTCCTTCTGCAGTCCTGAAAGATAGGGGTCCTCACTAGTGTGGAACTTAGGGGGCTCACCCTAAGGTCTATTGAACTTTATCCTGAGGGTAGGAGCTGCCATCTCTACAACTACTGATTAATGCGTTAAACCCAAGGAAGCATTCTCACTGGCATTTTCTGCTTCCTGTGTCTCCAAAAAGGTATTAAAGATTTCACTATGCTGTAGCTGGTATTCAAAGATGCTGCCCATAATGAGATTTTAGGAAAACATTTTGAATCTGTCCAGACCTAAATTACTTTGGTTAGGCTACAGCGCTGACGACTTTGAGTGTTAAAAGAACGAAAGGTAAAATTTCAGACCAACGGAGATTACAACTGAGATGGAAAAATGCACAGCCACTTCACCATGAGTTCAATCCCTACCTTGGAAGGTGATCCACATGGCTTAGCAGACCTCTCCAGACCTGCCCGCTGCTCCCCTCAGCAGTGTACTTAGTCAGTCGGCCTGTTTTGCTCCCCACTCTGTCTTTGGTGAATCCTCTCGCCACCCCTGCACCTCTGGCCTGTACCCCAGTTCTTTATGCATAACTAAATAAATCTTAAAAAAAAAAAAGAAGAAGAAGAACTTAAAACCAAACAAATATATCTATGCCTTGACCCTACTTCCCAGAAATTGATTCAACTTGTCTGGACTGGGGCACAGCCACTAGTGGGGTTTAAAAATTTCCCAGGTGATTCTCCCCAGGGGTGAGAGCCCATCTTACATAGGAAGAGCATCACATAAAACTTCTTACATAGGAAGCAGCAGCCCTCTCATGAGAAGAAGGAAACAAATGAACCAAGCACCCACCAATATCCCACCCACTCCTCCCTGCCTCTCTGTAAGAGCTCAGTTCTTCTGCTTTCATGGGCGTAGTGTGTACCGGAGCCCTCTACAGATCCTCCACACTGGCTCTGGAGGGAAGCTTCCTGGCACCACTCAACTCACAGTATCAGCAAGTGGTCCTTTGAAGTGCACAAGGAAGACCACTGCCCTCATTTTACAGTGGGGTGGGGGGTGGGTGGGGGAGTGGGGAGGTGGGGGTGAGGGTGGGGGAATGAGTCCCTGGAAGGGCAAATGCCTTGACTGGAGAGCTGTGGGCTGGGAGAGGAGGCCAGGTCTAGACACCCCACTCCTCTGGGTTCAATCCCCAAACCTGATTCCTGCTGGCAGGAAGGAAGGAAGGAAGGAAGGAAGGAAGCGAGCCAAGAATGCTGGGCCTCCACCACTAAGCTACTTCCCTACTCCAGATTCTTCCAGAACTCTGTGCTCTTCTATTGTATTCCCAAAACTGTTCTACTCCTTCCTTCTACGTAAACCCTCCTCCACCCAGCCAGATTCTTTGTACCCAACAATTCCTACTTAACTCACCTCACTTTGTTGTTCTCCCTATCAAACCCTGGAAATTTCACTTGCTATTTTTGTCTGTCTATGTTTGGGGAAGAAAGCTCTCTCCAACCAGATTAAGTTCTTTA